TTAAAAGGCAGTCCCAAATAGGGATTTCTTCCTCAGAATACGTAAAAACATCTGGCTGGGTTTCCCAGCACACTGAGAAACCCAAAAAGCCAAGGAAATTGATTCGCGAAATGCCAGAAGGGACAATTAATGATTTCTATCCACAATCTCCCGAGCAAAATCAGCAAATGTCTTTCCCTTGTTCTACCTCTTCGCCCAGATTCGGCTGTGTAAACACCGCCAGCGTATTGCGAGCAACTCGTGCCTGTCCTGTCGTTTTTGCTCCTCTAACAAAGTGAGGAACGGCCTTGAATTTGCCCCGGGTGATAAGCTCCAGTGCTTCTCCCGTTTGAAAAGCAAGGCAGTCCTTGGGTATGTTCACCTTGACGACTTTTCCTGTCCTCGAACGGATATACAGCCCAGCTTTGGGGTCTGGGGACGAGGCAAGTTCAGGCAGAGGGGATGACCGTGAGGCGTCTGCACTCGGAGGATTGGCTGCTTCGTCAACGAACATGGCCGACGTGAGGCCGGTGAGACATCCGTGATCGAGGTGCGTTGCGCACCAGTCATCACTGTCATCGTTTTCTCCGTCTGTGGCATTGAGTGTTTCCGTGGCTGGATTTTCCACGGGTCCCGGAAAATAGTGTAGCAATCGTGCTTTGGTGGTCATGCTGGTTTTGACGACGTGCTCGAGATAGCCTGGTTTATATCCATTGATATTTGCCTGCGCATAGCAATCACAAGCTTTGGCAACTAGCACCGCGGTGTCAATTATAAGGGTGCATAAGTCTACCAAGCTCTGGCGAAAGGTAGGCAGCCGGTCACTAGGCGGCCATATATTGGGTGCCGTGTACTGTGGGAAATTAGGGAAATTTTCAGCGGGTGCATTTTGCAATTCTGGATTCTGATAGAATGCGCAGTTAACATAGTATGATCCTTTCAAGGTATCGAAATGGCCTGATCGAAGAGTCTCTTTTCCACATGACCACCCAACCAGGTACTTTGCTTCAGCGCTGCTGAGGGATTCTGCTGCACGATTAGAACGGCTTTTCGAGGAGTAAACAGCCACGAGATATTCTTACCTAACTCATCAGCAGGCAGGGATGCTAAATATGATGAGTTTGATAGAACTTGGGCTCGAAGGTCCTTGAACTTTTCGGGTAGATCTTTGACGATAATGATGCCCAGGGAAGAAGGCCCAAAGGCATTTGCTAACGTTTCGAACGAGACGGATCCTATACTTTCTTTAGCAGGCAAGATACTTATGAGCTGCTTCTAGGCCATGATCCCACCGTCAATCAACTGCTGTAAGCTCACCGTGACGGCCTCGTCGTGATGCTGCTGGACTGAAGTAGCCATGGCTGCCAACTGCACTGGAGATGTTTAGTGAGGACTCGCCGATCGGCCGCAGAGACGGGATGGACTGTTCACAGATTTTGCTAGGCGCTTTGGCGTGTCCACCTCTCCATTTTCTCCAACAGTGTTCTTGGGCTCTTCCCCACAAGCCATAACCTTCTTTATGTTCGTTCCGCGGCCATTGATAAGAGCAGTCCGGGGCGTCCCAAGGGTCACGCGCGGCATGAGCACCAACTCCCGGGGATCCCCAAACAACGCTGTTCTGGAGGAGACCCAGAACCCAGACTATGACCCGAAAAAGTTCTACCCAGCTCGTGTTGGGGAGACAATCAATAATCAATACCGGCTTATTTCAAAACTTGGGTTTGGGACGGGCTCAACCGTCTGGCTCGCAAAGGATGTGACAAGGTCAGTCGAGATAACCCGGTGAGATTCTATGCCTTTAACAATCGGAAGATGGCGATGGCAGAGTGACAGATACATGGCTATCAAAATCACGAATTCCAAAGCCGAAGACCGAACCTCAGCTCAAAAGGAGATACGGATGTTTGAACGTCTGTCTCAAATTCGTACAAAGCATGAAGGCAAAGAATTTGTTCGGCGGCTTGAGGAGTCCTTTGAGATCCAGGGTCCGTTCGGCAGCCACTTTTGCCTAGTTTTTGAACCTTTGAGAGAGCCTATCTGGATTTTGGGGAGGCGGCTGGGCCAAAGGGGCCTCCCCCCGGCCGTTGGCAAGGCATTTCTCAGAATCATTCTGAGTGGTTTGGACTTCTTGCATTCGGAATGCCAAATCATACATACGGGTAGGAATGTTATTTCAAAAGGTCAATTTCACTTGCTGATTGTATTTAGATCTCAAAGCAGACAACTTCCTGCTGGGGTTTGAGGACCCTGCTGTCCTTGAAGAGTATGTGCGCCGGCAGGAAAGTGATCCTGCGCTATGTACAGAAATAGATGGACGACCGGTCTATGAGTCAAGTCTAGATTTCGGGCCACTCAAAAGAGGCGTTGGAAAGCTCAGGATGAGTGATTTTGGTGCTGCTGTCTCCGGTGATGTGCCAACGCCTTACAACCATGACATTCAACCACAAGAATTCTGCGCTCCTGAAGTTTTACTCAAGGCCACATGGACCTACAGCGCTGACATATGGAATTTGGGCATGATGGTAAGTCATAACCGCCCGAGAGTATCATCCATAAAGTCAATAACTCTCTCTGCAGTTATGGGAGCTGCTCCAGGACTCTCCTCCATTGAATGGGATCGGGCCGGGATGCAACACTTACTCGCTCGAGGCTCACTTTGGCCAATTAATACGTCTTCTTGGTCCCCCGCCCACAAGAACTATTGGATAGGGCTGATAAATCCATAGTTTCGCGTCTATTTTCAAAAGATGGTATGCTTCGAGACAAAACCCTGGGCTTGTCTAAGGCCTTTTTGCTAATTTTCACGATTATCAGGTAAATTTCGATATCCTCACCTAATCCCATCCGAAGACTTTGGCTTTGCCAGCCTTACCCCTTTCCTCCACGGCGAAGATAAGCACCTTTTCTTGGAGTTTGCTAGAAAGATGTTGCGATGGATGCCGGAAGAGCGTGCCACCGCGGGGGAACTGTATAATGACCATTGGCTATCTTTCAAGCCATAGGGCCTATGGGACCGATGGGAGACAAATCGAGAGAATCTCTGCTTGCTCAGGAGTACATGGCTCCTCGCATTTTAATAATCCCCACTCCAATCAGTACCCTACATGGTATTTACCTGGCTGCAAGCTTGCGGGACATATATTTTTCCCACAAGAACGGGCACTTTTCAGGCAACAACATACTCCACTCATAACCCAGCATGAAATCAGTATCATTATAAGAATTTATAGTGTCTAATACCTGTAAGCGGCTTAAAGATTCTCATGACTATATCTGATTCTGATGTAGGCACTCGCTTCAAGCTCTCTCGTTTATCGAGTATGAGGGGAAACCACGGCTGTTAAGGCTCGCGCCGGGAGGATTTTGGCACTCCGCTCACCTCCTTTCTATTTTGGGGAATCGCGCGCCCTCGCCCGTATAAAAGCACTCTCTCTTCCCTCCTCTCTTCCTTTCTCTCTTCTCTGGCAGATATTCAAACAAAAAAAATACATTTTCCACTATCAAACCAATCTGAAGGGGTAATGTGACCCCTAATCATTGCCGCAACCATTCTTCGCCCCTTGGCTTCAGCCTTAGGAATGCTTCCGTGTGTTCCCTAAGAAGTGGGTATTTATGCCCTGAAGTTAAAGCTTAGTTAGGCACTCCTCTGCGAGGCCCCCGCGCTGCATATATTGCCCATCTGTGGGCGCTCTGGCCAAATAATGCAGTTCCCGGGTCAGCGTTAGACGGGAAAAGGGTAAGACCATTGAGAATGAAGCTCCATGGCAATCATCCTAATGAGAAATGTGCTAACAGGTGATGTAGACAGTTTCTTTTCCCTTTTCCGCCCCTGTGTTGTGTCGCGCTGTGCCTGGTTTCTCCCCGTGCAATTTGAGGCTTGCGTGAGTGTCCGTGGACTGTGCTCTACCAACGCATTTTCGACGACCAACCCTCGTGTATGCTTCGCCAGTCGACGAAATCCAACTTCCGATACGGAGTACAGCAATAAGTTTATGACTCGATAAGGGCAATGATATAGGTCAAGGCACCCTTTTGAGGAGGCCTTAGGGGACCTTTCGTGAAGGGACGAATGTAGTGTCTTAGATATGTCTCATCTGGTGAGTTTAAGCTTGAATGTATTAATACAATGCGAGTAGATAAATCAACATTCAAGTCAGTGATTGTTAAGAAGATAGGTTATTATACGGGAGCTTAATAAAAAAGGGGTATCATCCCTGGGGCCGATGCAGTCTGTAAAGAACTTACAGGCAAATAGGAAACAGAAATAGTCCAAGTGGTTCAGTGCCATTCCATCCACCATCAGCGGACTGGCAGGTTCTAGACAACTGCTGGGCGTTTGGTGAAGTGTCCAGACGAAAATCAATGAGACAATGCATTGTAAATGTACATAACTAGTTAAAGCAAATAGAAGTATGGCAACAGCATCCGTTTCGCTTGCGAAATTGCTGATGCAGCTAAGAAACAAGGGTAGTTAGCCATCCATGGATGGTTTGTTTCTGTCAGATGGTTTAGCAAACAATTTCTGGATGCTTCCGAACTTGCATTTGCTGGTTCTTTGTCTGGCTCAGCATAAATATGCCATGGAATGCCGACCAGATCATCAGTTTTGAAGTTGAATGGGGTTGACAAGGAGTTGTTAGGTATTTCTGGGCGGCGGCTCTCCAGGTGGCGAGGGCCTGAGGCCTAAAAACATCACCGAAGGGCTGTTTTGGTGAGTTCAATTGAGCAACACAGAAGAGCAGAAAAGGCTGACATCAATCCTGAGGCATAGGTATATGAAAATATAACCCTCAGCTGCCATGATTCTGGTCTAAGCAGCAGTCCTCTTGATAATGGGATTTTGATACTGTCAAAGGTACAGAACCCGGTCCTTGGGCTTGTGCCGACAATGGGAGAACTCCTTTCAGGTCCTCACTTATATATTGCTTGAAGAAGAGATTTCAAGTGCTTTCAACATAAGAACACGTGCCTGTTGGCTCTCTTGGTTTCTCCAGGCAACAAACGGAGATTGCCAAACTTCTCAGATTCACAAGCAGCCTTGTTTTGTGTGGATAATATCACAAGTCATTGTTTGGGTGATCTTCTTTTCAACACATCCAAACAACAGAATCTTCTTCCCAAAGCACTGCTGTGAGAACATAGGCTTGTTCGAACACATCTGCCCTTTTCTCTTACTTTGAACCCCCCTGCACTATATAATGACGCGTTTTGAAGACATGGTGCAGCAACGCCTTACAGACCTTCGCCAACAAGCTTCAGAAACAGAACACACAGAGTCCCTTTCTCACCAAGGCACAATGGACAAGGTCATAAGTATCTCTGAATCAGACTCTCATGACAGCCCATTCATGGAGATGGAAGAGTCGCCGCCTAGTCCAAGCCCAGCCCCTAAACGCGTTCAGGACGATGGAGATGAACAGCACGCTGCGAAAAGGCCAAAGGTCTCGGTTTCTTCTCCTATCAAGTGCACGTGTGCTATATCCAGCAACTGTGTGCTCGCAGCTCAAAATGGTGTGCGTGACTGCCGAACCACTTCAACTCCGGCCCCACGGCGCCAGAAACCAAAGACTCCCATTATAAAGTGAGTTTTTTTGTTTTAAAACCTGTTCTATTGATTCTACTAGTCGACGCTGATGCTAATTTGATCTCAACAGCTTTCCAACGGCACTATCAACCAAACAGCAAGCGAAGTTCAAGAGAACTCTGGATGAGATGACTGAGATACTTTCCCTCTATATAAGGTCCATCGATACTCCTAGTAGTGACTTGCCAAATATCTTCAATCAAATGCGGCATCGTGTTCAACAGCTGCCCTTTTCCGAAGCACATCCTTCTTGCCAAGAGGGTCTGAGGTCGCGCTTTTTGAACCCAGAATCGGGCTTTCCCGCCATAATCCGGGACCATTCTATCCCCTGGGATATCAGACTTGACGTTGATGTTCTCCGCATGCGCTGGGAGAAAGGAGACCTAGACATTAGCTTGGACCGTGGCCTCATCACAACAGTCACCAGAACCGTGAGCAGGAAATTCGACACCGCATTCCCTTTCAAGGTACCTTGCAATCAAATTGGAGAAGGCACCCTGCGCAACGGCCAATGGTTTTCTTGGCAAATTTGTGCCGTTCGCGATGGAGCTCACGGGGAAATTGAAGCCGGTGTCTCGAGTCATGGTGAAATCGCAATCTCCATTGTGCTGGGCTCTGGTCGTGGGTACGCAGACTCCGACCAGGGCGAGACGATTTACTATTCCGGCACACACGGGAAAACAGGCGTGATCTCCGCAGGCACCAAAGCGCTCCGTGACTCGTTTACGAAAAGGAGTCCAATTCGCGTTCTGCGCAGCTCCAGACTTCCGGCTATTAATCCATATCGTCCTGCCCAAGGTCTACGCTACGACGGCCTGTACGAAATCGTGGATGAGGAAATGATGGACGAAGAGAAGCAGCTGTATCGGTTCAAACTTGAGCGCATTGAAGGTCAGACGCCGATCCGTTACCAGGGTCCTGAGAAGAGACCAAATCCAAAGGAGCTTGAGGAATATGACCGGCTTCGAAAGTTTATGACGGCCTCGAGACCCAAGAAGCCTTCCCCATGATCGGTGGCCTTGTTGTTCGGTGTGGCTAGTGGAACGGTGTCCTCCGGGCGACTCTGCGAGACTCCATGGTAATAAAAATTGCTTATTACGGGGACTGCCTGCGTTTACTTGGGGTTGATGGGAGGGCTTGTGGAGTACTGGCGATTTTCAACATGAACTTCTATTGGAACTTGCAAAGGGGGATGGATGGTACAGGATTTCCAAGGTTGTTAGTTCTCATATAATTGTTGCTTAATTGCTTACTCAACCCTTGACGTCGAATGAGGCTGCGGTATATTAAGATAGCTATCTGCGATGGTGGGATGCAGGGCATGTGGATAGTATCGAATAAATGCACATAGTGCCAATCTTCATGGAGACATCACATTGAATCAAGGACCATATCATCAAACGCCCTCAACGTTCATGCATGAGCAGAGATCGCCGGAAAGTAGTTCTAATCCATACCCGATTTCGAACCTATATAAGAATAGGACCCCGAATCCCACCCCAACTCCGTATGCGCCAAATCCTATGAATCGACTTGCTGCGTAAGAAAGATCGTGTCACGATAACAAGTGGATGTATATATTACAGAATGATTTTCATTGCATCCTTAGGATGGCTCTCGTTAGGACAATATGGGCACTTGAATTTACCCCCTTTACTCAGTCTCATTAGTGATTCTTGAGCGACAACATGCCCACAGGGCATTCTCATAGGTGGGTTTTCGTCAGTAGTCTGTTCTTTGGACACGGGGCATACAAAAATAGAATGGAATAAGTAGGACGGCGGAAGGGGGATTTCAACCTAGACGTTCGGAGTTAGCTGTGAGTAAAAGGCAGGGAGAGGGACCCGGTCTCTGCTTACTGGTAATTCATTTTGTGTAGTCCATTCCGTACGCTTCTCTTTCATAATGGCCTGCAATTTGAGAAGGGTTGGAAGAGCGATTGCTCCGGCTGTCGCCGCGATATACAGCGGTGAGTCAGCGGATAAGCCGAGTAGTGCGCAAAATTCGCGAGTAAACGCTGCAGCAACGTCGAACCATGCCCAAGGGTTAACGAATATGGATTTATATGGAGATTCCTCTAGGTTCGGGCAAAACGCCATTGCACCCATAAGCTGCTCGACCTCACGAAGGTGCCTAGCATGGAAATGGTGGAATTCTTTTCTCGCATAGTTCAGTGCGGCGGCTCGGCCAGACATAATGGACACATTGCCCTCCTTGCCGCCGTGGAACAGCCACACGAATTGTAATCGGCAAAGTTCAAATTCCAGATTGCTTCCTCGTCGTTCTAATTGAGCACGGTTCTCTCTAGCCCAGTCGATGGCGGGGACTAAATTTCTCTCTTCTGTCAACTGGTGTAATATGCGATACATTACGGTAAATTGGCTTCGTATTTCGTCGAATTGTGACTCGTCGCATTGCTGTGGCAGGGTGCCAAACTGGTCAGGAATTTGTACGTTATTGGAAGTCTGTGAGGAAGTGAGATTCCGGCCCAGCTCCGAAAGAAATGTGGACGCCACGGAGAACTGGCCCTCTCGCAGCAAATGCATTACAATGGCTCTATTGACCAGTGTAGGCTGCAGCGATAGAGCATCATATTCGGTACTAGGAAGTGGTTTGTCTTTGAACAGCTTCACCCCCGTCGGGCTGGCATTAGCCTACGGTCTACCCCGCGTGGCACATACATCTCAGATCTCACCTTATCCAATGCCCTACCATACTTATTCAGAGCGGTGTAAGTCTCCTTCAAACTGTCGTTGGTAGTCTCGAAAGAGGATTTAACAGGGTTTTGCAGCTTTGCGAGGGTTATAGAAGCGGAACTCGGATCTGGAAGCGGAACAGTTAACCATCTGGTTTGAACAACGTGCTGTGATAGGAAGACATCGCAAGGGTTTATGACAGAACTGAGCATACCTCTTTCAATACTATCTCGTGCCTCCTTCAGTAGATCAATCGTAGCCTGAACATCGTTAATGCTCTTCGAGCTCTGGGCCCGCTTGAACAGGCGCTGGTGCTCCTTCTGGAGGAGCTCCATGTCTGACGCTATGGAGGATTAAGGTGGCTTAAATCAACTCAGCTGGCGCATTTTCCGTATAAATTAATCACCAGTCGTGCCGGGCAGAATGGTCGGACTGCCTTTGTCTGCTGTGAATAAACCGCAGCAGTGAGTCGAAGGCCGTCTATCTGTTTGAGCCCGCAATGAGGAGAAGCTGTCGCCCAGTACAGGGCTGTCACCTGGCATACCAGAATTACAGGGTACTAGTCGCTGATTTGCCTCGAGACTTCAAATGCTAAGGTTTTATTGGCCAGAAACAAAACACTCTGTATCATCTGGCGAATCGGAATTTGATCCTTGTGCAATTGCATATCAACCAATAGCGGATTGTATATCAATACCGTCGTTACACCTGTGACGTCTGCCGATGACTTTTGGACGACAATCACTCACTCCGCCAAATAATTACAGCACCATTTTGTTGAGCATGACCTTCTCATCTTGGTCTGGTCAGTGTCGATTTGAACAAACGATGATATATCTGATATGACGATATGATGGCTACAGTTCTTAGGAACGCTATCGTTGGATCACCTCGTGTACCGAGACAGGAAATTCTTCGCTAGGGGTTGACTTGGGAGAGGCAGGAATACGTGGAAGCCTCTAGCAACAGCTTATAGCTTGAATAGCAGTTCTTCGCAGACCTCCTAAGGAGTGACACATTATCATGCCGCAAAATAGCAGCTCCGGGCCTCCTTCCCAGCGGCATACAAACCTTGGCCAGAGTGCATCTGCTCCCCCATCGGAGAATTCTCAACGCCCGGTAGCTTTTCGATCGCCAGGAGAACACCAAACTTTCGTTTCAGAAGAGGGCTACGAGACGCTGGTATTTACGGACCCCGTGGTTTTCAGATGTTTAGAGGAAGACGCATCGACGATTCTGGTAGAGAGGCGCTCTATCTTAGTGGGCTATGTGACTTATATTGTTGAGCAATGGGCCTGCTCCCGGGTGCATCCGACATTCGTTATCAACACATATACCGGCGACCCGACCCACACCGTCGTTGCTGGAGTTCTAAAGGTCCCGAAAGACGAACATCTCTGGTCCCCAAGGTTGAGAGTCTACTTCAATACCATAGCGCAAAGCCACACTAGGCGGCGAGAGACTCCACTCGGGATCTTGATGGTCACAAACCTGAGCAATTTTCCTTCGACTCTTACCGTCATCGATGTCCCAGAAGGGGATGTTAGAAAATACCGAGAAGATTTTGTGGTCAATGAGAATCTAAAGCGCCTTGGTTGCTCTGGAAGAGCAGGACTGAATCTAAAACAACCAACTCCAGCAACTGAAGCAAAATTTTATCAGCTATATCGAACAAGCGAACGTGTGCCGTTCTTCGCTGCTGTCATAGGGCTTGTTAAACTGTGCCAGATGGCCCTGAGCGTGTTCGATAAGTTGGCGGCAGAGTATATAGACGGTTTACTCTGTGACGTGACCGAACGCGCAATCAACGATTGGTGGAGCGACATTGGGACCGAGCTTTTCAACAATGAGCCAAATGACGGAATCCTCGGACCTACAACTGTTTCCGCGTTGCTTGGATGTTTGATGGGGGCAAGAAACCGCCTCCATGCCTGGGGTGCGCCTGTTGCAAAAGATGCTTTTGATATCGAGAGCTTGAAACGAGGAATCGGCAGTTTCCAAAAAGCTCAAAAGCTTGAGAGATCCAGACGATTGGACAGGCAAACCCTGGATAAGTTACATAGAGTGACAGCTAAAGCTGCAAGCGGAGAAGGATGGGCAGTCCCTCGAGCAGTCAAATCCACGGTAGCAGAACTCGGGGGGAGGGGAGGGGAAATGGTTATAGGAATGGTTGGAGGGCGTGATAAAGCTGGCATTTCCGATATTGAAACTTTGGATATGGATCGATTTGTTCAGCTTGTCAGCGGCGAGAGATCTAAATGGCTATGGCATGGGAAACCTCGAAAGTATCACACCGATCCGTTTCGACACGATGCTGGAGACGATGAAGTGGCATTTCCTAAAGATACGTGGGCAGCTAGAAGAAGGGAGACGGGCAGTGCTTTCACATCAGCCCGCCCTTCTCTCGACACCGAACAGTCTTGGAAACACATGGAAACTCCGACGAATGTTGATAGCAGGGATCAACAGTTAAAACATGCCTTCAAGAAGTCGGTTAGCGGTAAAGTCTCGGATGCTCGTGCGGGACTCGGTCGATTCAGAGATGCTGTCGGATTGCCAGGCCTTCGCTCGCACCAGCACCATCACAATCACCCTAAACCTTTCAAGGATGCCGTTGATGCCGATGCTAATTTGTCATATCAACGTGCGGCAGATGAAGGACCCGTGTATCCGGGGACGAAGAGCGAAATTCCAGGAAGTTCAGTTGTTAGTAAAGAGAAGTTTGAGCCGTTGTCAAACCCCCTTGAGCATATACCTACGAGCGAACCCATCGCCCATACCATAGATATCCGACGTCAATCGTCTCAGGAGAGCGACCAATCCCAGAAGGAATTAGACCCTAATAGCGCAAGTACGGAGCCACACGAGTCAACAGGCGTGATTGATGAAATTTTGCAAAAACCAGATTGTGTCGATGAGCCGATCAGAGTCACTCGAATACTCCGCCGACCTCTCAGTCTCTCCTTATTTCCCGTCGAGAATGCACCATCAATGTTCCGAGGGCGTTCTTGTCGACATTTGTCTTTCAGTGCAGTTGAAGAATCGATACTTCCTTGGAAAAGCAGTGTTAATTTTAGCCCAGCCGATTTCAAATCGGATGCAATCTTAGCAACTAGGATTCTCTATGAGGATATGCAAACGGAAGATGAAAGGATGCTCGCTTCCAAGATCGCCGATCTGGATATGAACACGAGCTGCTGGGTCGAGAGGCAAGTCGTTGCAGTTGAGAGTCTCGAAGCCACCGCGAATTCCCGTTTGAAAGAGTTGGATTCTGCTTACATAGAAAAGCAAGCGGAGTATCAGGCGTTGGAAGAAAACTCGACTGCTTTTATTTCAAAGGAAAATCGGGATTTGGTCGAGCGGTCTAAGAAACTTGAGAATCTAGGCGCCAAACTTGATTACGAATTGCACTCGCTGCAATCGAGGGTGGAAGAGGTCGAGAACGGGCTTGTTGATTATGAACACCACATCCGGGGCTTAGAAAGTCGACTAAAGGAGCTGCTCAAGGTCGAGAAGAAGTCAGGCATTTCATGGATGGAATGGGGCCAACGGTTTTTAACCCGCGGAACATAACGGCTAGCCATAGTGTTTTTGCTCTTACCATATTGTGTAAAGTCCATTTTGAAGTATATAATTTTAATGCTAATAGTAAGAGTCTCAAGGTTTCCCGATGAGACGGCCAGGCTGGAGGTCATAGGAAAGACGTTGATTTGTTTTGCATAATATACATAACATCGATTAAAACCATGCAATAGTTAATGCCCTGCAGTGCGACAATAGAAACATCCCAAGATCTAAAATTCCCAGTTAGAGCCGAAATCCGCGTAGACAAACCAGGCCGCCACAATCACATACCCGCGATAAAATCCAAGCCATAGCGTCTAAATTTATCACCAAGTGGACAAACCACGTTCGTAAAAACTAACTCACGGCTGACCGGCGCCGGGTTGGCCTTGTAGCTGGCCCATCTTCTCCGAAACCTTCGTATGGACCTCGAAGAACTTGGAGACACAGCGGTCAAGGCAGACGGACTCGCCCTTGTTGAGATCGCCTTCTCGGTAGTCTGGGGGAATACATTTCTTCATGCACGCGGCGTTGAGGCTATGGAAGAACAGGAGATGTTAGTATACATGACAACGGAGCCGGTAGTGGGCGTGGGGAGAGACAATAAGTGCGCGCGGGCATGGTCAAGCAGAGGGGAGCATACCGATTCACCATGTCTGTGATCATTTCGAATTCCAGCTCTGCTCTTTGGATCTTCTCCTCCGAGGATATCTGAGGGCGGCCGCCGAAAAGGAAAGACATGATGGGCAGGAGAAGGTGCAGAGCTCAGGAAGACTCAAGGAGTAGTCACAGGAATAAGGACAAGATATGCCAATTGTCAAAACAAGCTGTAGTAACTATCACTGAGCTGGATGATACTGCTCGTCCCGTCGCTGGATTGAATCGCGATGACAAAATTTGGGAGACGACGGCCCGATGATAATCCGCCACTGAAATTCAATCTGCCTCCAAAGCAGACGATGAACAAGTTACGAGCTGGTGGATTTTGGTCAATTCTTAGTCTTTATTATATGCGATGCGGCCGCGTTGAAGTTGTGGGCAGATGCGACCAGTCTGCTCTCATCGTGTCTCCCAGCTATGTCTGGATAGACTTCCGTTAAGGTGATTCCGCATTCTGATCGAACGGCAATATGTTCTAAATGCTAACAATTCCGGCCCTAGGTACTGTAGGCAACCTTCGAGCCGCTCAATTGGTACTCCGCCGACATTGCAAGCCCGCCAGACCCGGCCATTTTCAAACACGCACCTGTACAATAAAAAGGGTTCGATTGAAGACGTTTCCAATCCGCCACGATGGAACCGAATTGATGAGATCAAGACTGCGCGCTCCAATCCATATCCGCGATTAGCAGTCCACCCGCAATCTACGAGCTGTGAGCAATTTCGTTCAAAGTACGATCATATTCAGTCAAATGAAACCGTGGAGGATACATCTGTGGTTTTATACGGTATGCACGGAATCGGGAGAACGCAGCGAGTTGAGCCGGAAGGAAAGGTGACTTAGACTACTAGGAAGAATAAGGTCCCAGCGAACGGCTGGCAGCAAGCTAGTGTTCTTCGATCTGTGGCAGGACGGACACAAAGTTCAGGTCTTATGCAATCAGCGCATTCTCGGGCTTGCGGGAACGTCGCCGGAGAAATTTCGAGAGTTTTATCACTTATTGCAACGAGGAGATGTTTATTGTAAGCATTACACCTCCACCAGTGCGCGTACTCACGTATGGAACGTTAATCAAAATAGCTATCATTGGAAAGCCGCATAGGACAAGCAGAGGAGAATTGACTTTGCTGGCCAACGAGCTGCCTACCCTTCTGTCACCTTGTCTTCATGACGTACCTGTCGATACAAAGGAGCATGAAGTATCTCCTTATGAACGCCACGTCCAGTTTCTTGCCGATCAGGGTGTAGTCGATTCCCTGAAAGCACGGTCATCTATCATCCAGCACATCCGGAATTTTTTCCTTGAAAGAAATTTCACCGAAGTTAGCACTCCGATTATTGCTTCTGCCGCAGGTGGTGCGACAGCGAGACCCTTTCATACCACTGCCTCTGAGTCGCCGGATCGGTTACTAGCTCTAAGAATTGCCCCTGAATTATGGCTGAAGCGCTTAATCGTGGGCGGATTCGACAGAATATTTGAGATTGGACCTTCTTTCCGGAATGAAGGTATGTCTCCTTCTTCTCCATCAGAACTCTGGAGTTACTAGACTGGAGTTACTAAACGGCATTCAGGACTTGATAAAACTCATAACCCCGAATTCACTACATGCGAATTCTACCAGGCATTTGCCGATTTGGAGCGCCTCATGCAGATGACTCGGAGTATTTTAGCAGGGATTTCTCATGATATCAAACAATTGAACGAGAAACTCGGCACATTGAACCCCACGAATGCGGATTTCAACTCTCCATTTCAACAACTAGACTTCATACCAGCTCTAGAAAGCGCCATTGGACGTCCGCTTCCTGATCTAAAATCCGACGACGCCACTGCTAATGTGGTGAATTTGTTCAATACCTTGGCTCTCCCTCTTCCTGATCACATATCACTCCCTCGTCTACTGGATAAACTTTGCTCCGCATATCTCGAACCTCGGTGTGAGAACCCTACGTTCATAATAAACCACCCGGAATGTATGTCACCCCTTGCTAAGTCCCATATCCATCCAACATGCAACCAAGTCGTATCCGCGCGCGCAGAACTATTTGTGGAAGGAAAAGAACTTGTGAACATGTATGAAGAAGAGAATTCTCCGTTCGAGCAGCGACGAAAGTTTGAGGAGCAACTTTCTTATAGGGACCCGGAAAACCCGGGGGAACTCGATGAGGGCTACTTGCAAGCTCTGGAGTGGGGACTGCCGCCTACTGGAGGATGGGGCTGCGGCATTGACCGGCTGTGCATGCTATTTACAGGCGCTCCGCGGATTGGCGATGTGTTGAGCTTTGGGAACTTGAGAAGCGTGACGAGGCCTCATACGTTGCAGCATCCTCGAGGAAGTGTGAGTGGGCTATAAGGACATGGAGCACTCCATTTGATCATATTTGTACAGTACCATAAAGATAGTTTCGTCTCATTCATAAGACTGTGATAAGTAACAGCTGAACATTATTTCTCGAGCAATGTTACGGAGTAACTACTCATGTCAAAATGCCACTCCATTGAACGGATGGGATCTCTTTCGTTTCCATTTGCTCACTCATCGACACGGTCCTTTTTTGAAGGAAAAAAAGAATAAAAGAATAAAAGAAGGAGTCTGTTTCCTTCTGTGGCTGGTCTTGGCGTGCATGACAAGTTATCGATTCGCCTGCTCTGGAGTCCTCAGATATCCAGTTTCGCGGTTGGTGTACGGAGTATCTTCAAATCAAGGATGAAGCTCTCAAAGCTAATAGAACCGAAAACTCTTCTGGCTCCAAATCTTCGCAGACTTGCTTTTATTTGGAGACGGTTTAGCACCACCACCTCTGCCAGTATAGCCTCCTACAAAATCTCCTCTCCAGCGGGCTATTTTCCTAACTTTCAGTAGACTCCCCGATTACCCAAGCGCTGAAGCAGCAATACTACAATTACACCTCAGGCCGCTGGCTATGGGACGAGGCAAACCAGTTTCGAAAACGATATCAACCTTTCGACATCCAGAAGCTGAAAGGAAAGGCAGCAGAATGCGTCAACGCCGCTTCGTGCACCCGCATGATCAAGCTTACAGAGGGCGCTTACAATAAAGCTTTTCTGTTGACGATTGACAATGGTGTCCAGGTTGTTGCGCGCATTCCTAATCCTTTCATACATCCCCGAGTTGCAACGGCGAGTGAGGTTGCAACGTTGGACTTCCTGCGGAATGAGCTTGATATTCCTGTCCCCCGTGTGCTGGCCTGGAGTAGCGACAAGAACCAGGACGTTGAGGCGGAGTATATTATTATGGAAAAGGCGCCTGGCACAGAGCTTGCGAAGTGTTGGCCGTCGATGGATATTGCAGATAAATTCCGCATTGCGACCCAATTGGCGGAACTACAGAAGAGGTTTTCTTCAGTTGATTTCGGACACTACGGGAGCTTGTATTATCGTGGTGAAAGTCAACGACATGACATTCCTGGATTCTCAAACAAATTTTGTATCGGTCCTGCTGCTGCGCCGCAATTCTGGGATGCAGAACGGAAACAAACGGGTGAATATAAGGGACCTTGTAAGTATTCATTGAGCTGCCCGCTGCTTTTCTAGCTTATCGCCTATCACGTTTAGGGTCATCTCCGGTTTCGTTTATGAAAGATATTGCACGCCGCGAAATGAGTTGGTTGAGTCAGTTTGCCAGGCCTCGACAAATGTCCGACCCGCTCCGGCAATCAGCAACTCAAGAGTCTCCAGAATGTCATCTTCAACTTCTGCAGAAATACCTCAAAATCATCCCGCAGGTAATACCACTGGACAACAACCTGCGTCGAGCCACAATATGGCACCCTGATTTGCATTCTGGGAACATCTTCATTGAAAATAACACGATCGTCTGTATCATAGACTGGCAAGGCTGCATGAGCCTCCCTCTTTTTCTGACCTGCAAAATTCCCAAGTTTCTCCGATTCAATGGACCATTACTTATCAACATTCCACCCACTGCGGGTCTCTCAACGCAAGAGAAGGCGGATATATTGCTGAGATACCAACTCACACAACTGCAAAGGTTTTATATCGCACGGTTCGATGATCTGGACAGATCAGTGTTTCGGGTTCTGGCCGATCCTTATGCCACGACTCGTCAGCAACTCGTTGAATTTGCGGGTTCAACATGGGAAGACGACGGGCTGCTCTTTCTTCGGGAGAGGATGCGCCAAGTGTGGCATGCTTGGGCTGATTTCACAAACAAGCCTGGAGAGGAATGCCCAATAACTTTCAGTGCCGATGAACTGGCAACCCATAATGCTGAAATGAAAGCATGGGATGGATTTAACCAATTTTTCGACTTCCTTGGCATTCCAATGGATGGCTGGGTGCATCCAGAGGACTTCAAATTGAAAGCAGAGACGATGCAAGATATTGCAGGAAAGATGGTGAGCACTGCTGACGATCAAGAGGAAGCGCGATGCGCAATTCGGGCGTGGAATCTGTCAGATCCAGAGGCAACGCATCCTCTAGCCTAGCAATTTTTCTGAGAATTGATCGAGGTCTCCAAGGGCTGTCTTGTGCAGCCGGTCTCAACATTTGCATTGGGGCTTTCAGCTGTCACGGCTCCATCGATGAAGCCCTCACTGCTCAGGGTCGACCATTCATCGAGTCAAGCAAGGCTAAATAGATTTCTGGTCCAAGATCAAACTTCCCATGCGAAAACCCAAATCCTCGGAATGAAGAAGACAATGTGGCTGCATGTCAGAGATTATTAGGGAAGAACCCTGCCTTGGAAGGATTCTAAAACCTTTTGGCATGACAGGGAAAGTCGTTTTTCAGGCGAGTTCGAGTGAATTTTCTCCCTTAAGCAACGCTTCCACGTTCGACATTATGATGCTTGTTAACCAGACCCGTATGGAGAGGTTTGAGTGGGCCTAAGCTGCAGGGCTACCATGAAACCGGAGCGCTAAACTAGGCCTTGTATTCCGTATCCAACAAGAGGCTTCCTTTGGACCCATACTCCGTCGGTGGTTATGTCAGAGCCGAAAACTCGAGGTGCATGTGCCTGAGCAGATATAGCTCAGGGCATAGAAGTGTTATCATTATTAACCTTTCTTCTTTGTAAGGCAACAGCAATACGGAGGGATTGATGCCGTTTGAGTCATACTGCAAAGATGTCTCGCCGCAACTTTGTCACAACTGCAGGGACGATGCCTGATCCATTTGGATAGTTGAACCAACGGGAGCTTCTGCCACACCTGAAAGGCATCAATGTTTCTGGCAGCGAGGAGTCCCTGGCCGCCAAGGACGGACGGCATGCGGGTGGAGACCGGGAGGTTCCCCTTAGCCGGGCATTCGCCACGGGGTAATTTCAATCTGCAACACAACGATTGACGATCGGGAGTCGAGGCGTTCGAAACTTTAGCATAAATTATTGGAGAGCCCCCAGCTCGTTGCAGGCGAAGCACAGAGAGGAGCGTCTTTTAACGACAAGAATGCACGCTGTCGAGTTCGACTACCATCTCTTTCGCTACTAAATGTTTGCTCTGATGTTGAGCTGTGCCAGTCAACTTCATCTTTGATTTGTCATCTGGTTTTGGCTTCAAAAGGGGGCGGCCTGTTTGCTCTGTTTGCACCTGCTATCTTGTGTGGTGGAGGCCGGGGATCAGCGCTGATTGGCGGAGAGTGCATCATGTGACCTCGCGTGAGTCACCTGGCCGAGCGTGTGCCGAAATCCACTTTACACGTCGCTTCAGCTTGTTTGCGTCGCGTCTCCCGGGTTGCAAGCACGCCGTCCAGCACCGGATACGAACAGTAGAGCAGAAAAACCAAGTATTAAGCCTCCACGGCCCGCTGTAAATGGGATGGCCCTCGCACCAACAGTATTTAAGCAGCGTGCTGCCCCCCGCCACGAGGAAATGAGATGTGTGGTCTCTCCCTCGAAACCCCCTGGCTGAAAATTTTCGCTGGACTAGCCTATTTGTTGTTGGTGAGCCATCAACAGCAACTCTGTAACCGTCTTTCTTTTTCTTCTTCTTTGGTCATAGCTCAGACACACGATCAATTTAAATTAGCTTGTTTTGTTCTAAATGAAAGAAAAATATCCATCCTCTCCTGCTCTCAGGTACTTGGTATAACTAGGATACAAGTCTCTTCAGCCATTCACTTGGACCTTGCACGGACGTCGTTTGCTATCCAACTCTGCCTTCACTCGTCTTACCGTCTTTTCCTCCGATTCAACAGAACTCTCGGGCGTTCGAAAATATCGCAATCATGTTCGGCAGACGGCCCTCCCAATCCCACAGCCGCTCGGAAAGCTTCTCAACTAAATACCGTGCGGGCAAAGCAGCATCCCGATCGAGGAAATCTTTCAGAGGAGGCGAGCCGCCAGTCATCTTGAAACGCTCAGAGCGAGGACAGAAACCAGAAAGTCCCGTTCCCAAGTATGCACCTCCCATCAACCCGCTTTCATCCATTCATGATCCAGTCGCTAACGTCTCTCGTTCTGTCGCCAGTCTAACGTCGGCCATAGTCACCCTCTGTGTAGGTCCCGAGCAACGTCTTTTTGCTGCCCATGAAGAAATCCTATCCGTTTCACCATTTTTCTCCTCCTGCTGCCGTGGCCAGTTCCTCGAGTCGGGAAACAAACAGATAAACCTACCAAGCGAACAACCTGAGATCCTTTCCTCAATACTAGAATATCTTTACAAAGGAGATTACTTTCCTCGCTTGGTACATAATAAACGGAGAAATACCTGGGAGTTGGAAGCTGCTGTGGATGAGAATGGTGCCCCCGTGCTTGCTGAATCGACAGTCATTGACCCGATCGATGGCTCTGTTGTCTTGAAAGACACCGCTATATAGTATGTCTCAATTGAGTCTCTCCTCCAACATTCTAGATCTTGCTAACGGCCCTATCCAGTTGTGCAGCCGATCGCTATGGGCTCTCCGAGCTTAAACGCCTAGCCCTACGAAAGCAGGGCCTCCAATCGGCTATCCAATGCAGCACTATCCTGTCCAGCGCTCGTTATGCTTATGCACACACTCCTGACACCGATTCGAAGCTACGTGCCCACTACCTTGCCTTGATCATTCGGAGCCGATCAACCTTCAAGAGAAGCGGAACAATGCAGATGGAGATGGAAACCGGTGGAAAACTCTTCTTCGATCTTTTCGTCGCCATGTGTAACCATATGGTAAGCTGATTGACTCCTCTTGCGGTTTATCGCGTCGCATCCATGCTAACTCTTCTCCTAACTTTTATAGGACGACATCACCGGTCCCTCAAAGTCTCCATTCTCGCGATAACTATAACGCTAGCTAGCTCTTTTTTATCAACTTTCGCACCACCCTCCCCTCAGGCGCTCCCTCTCATCTGCACCCCACGATACTCGTGAACACCAGCCCTACAAACTCACCTCGCCCTAGACCTCCCCTAACGAGGAAAATCCCCTCTCTCTATACTTTCCAACCCTTAACACTGTATTCTAATGCGACGCTCTCGACGTTTAATCGGCCTTGGACGTACCAAACCTTCGCAATTTCGAACGGCCAGATATATTCAACCCTGTCAACGACAAAGACGACGATACGGGCTAGGCCCTGGAGGCCACTTTTCACTCTTATCTTTCTTCTTTTATTGTACTATATTTCTATCTAATTCTCATCTACTTTCACTTTTATCTCTTTCCCAAACCATCACCCGCCGCAAAGGTGCATGACCCGGCTAAAGCCTTTTTAATTTCTTCTTCAAATTCTTTTGATTTTAGTCATTTACGTCCATTTAATAGCATTTTATACCCCGGTGATTTGATGTCTCATCTTTAACTTGCTTTTATATTGTGCTAATATGCTACCTTTGGGGGATCCTATCTACATTATCCTCGGCTTGAATATTCTACTTTATGGCGCTTATGAGCCTATTATATGAGAGTTCCCTTTTCCTTTTTATCGGATGTACTTTGCACATGTTTTAATAACAGCTCTGAAAAGAAATTGAGACCCGGTTTGTCAGAGCCGCTTGGGGCAGAGAAGTTGCTTTGAAGAAGCCCCCCGTTTTGGAAATTGCCACAGGTCGCAGAGATTATTACACATGAGTGTTTCTTCAAACTGTCTTGACTAAGTTGACAATCATCCGGTGTTGATGTCGTGGACCTGGGTATTGTTTTGGATATGGATAGATCAGTTTCAAGGGCTCATGTTCCATACAAGAACGAAGATAGTTGAAACAGACGAAGATAAATTGTGGTTGTTTAAAGTCACAAAGGGTTCTTTTTCTTATCCTCATCGAGACGTTTCATCGTCCTTGTCATATAGTTACCTTGTTTGAAACCCCAGCGGTGACAATAATTTGCTTTCGTATTAGTTTTGTTTTACACTTTGTCGGGCTCGCAAGATCCCTTGATGTCCTGCCAAGCGGATAGAAGGTACCGGGCTGATTGGAAAGCGCCGTCCAACTTCGCTACATAACGCTTATAGTTGATAAACTGGATAGCAGGCTTAAACGCCCGTTCCTGGAAAAGCAGTACCCCCTTTACTCAGGACGACGATACCGCGGTCGCGAGCTATGTAGCCTTTCATGAGATTCTGCAGAAAGGGAGTTAGTTAATCTCACAACACAAATCCTTAACCAGTTCCATAGCAATTCCTCTTACCTTGTATATCAAATTCGACAAATAGCATTCGACCTGGTCAATCTCCGCCCTCAGCTTAACCGGAGTAAGTTTGTCGCTGTTCTCCTCCCCATTATGTTTTCCGTCCTTTCGCGGTAGAGGTGGTGTAGAATTGGACTTGAGTCGTATAGCAGCAAGGAATTCCTGAACAGGGACACGAGTTCGCCTGATAGGTGTTGCACCGGGTGGCGCCGGATCGAACCCACCAGCGATAAACACTTTTCTGAATAAATTGCGCAATGCAATATCACGACCTCGTTCCAATGGGAGGTAGATCATCTGTTTGGTGAACGCGGCGCCTCCTGCTGAGATTGCAGCATCGAAACCTGCAAGATCTCCTTTTCGAATGCACTCGCAAAGCGGTCGGAATAGTTGTTCGAGGCGAGGGAACGGGGCTAATAAGCGTTTTGAGGGTAATGTGCGGGTGGTGACGAGATGGCATGGGACGAGGTACATGAGGATAAACCTAGTGTACATGAGAGATAGTTCTGTGTGGAGGACACCATAAAACGCACTCTTTATTTTTCATTGCATCTTTATGGCAAAGATTCCAGGCGTATGTCAAGTGTTCCTCTGCCTACTAAAGGGGTGACTAAATGTTAAAATCATGATTGGGAATGGTGTGTACGCACCTCCTTGTAAGACTCCTCTAAAAAGAGAATCACCCCGAGATAGTATTTGAAAGTGACAATATGGGACTTGGGGAATGCTGTGAGAGGTGGCATATCCGCTTGAGATGCTTCCATTGCATGCAATAAACTCTTGCAAGACGACACGGTGCCAAGCTGCAATTTTTATTTCAGAAAAGCGGTCAACGCAAATGGTTTTGACGTATGTTCATCGTACCTTGAAATATGTCTTGAATGAAAGATTTACTGTACTGTAGACTCCCCACTTGCGAGATTCCTCGATTGGTGCCCTGTAAACTTAGTTAGGGAAGGATATCTAACAGATATTTAGGAAAGGGAGCGTTTCAAGCGTACCGGTCGTGTAGACATAACGTAAACATGCGGTTGATAACACGCGATGCATCTTCAAGGTTTTTGTTTTTATGCACATCAGAGACCACATCCTCTTGAAAATTGCCTCTTGATGCATCAGGGCTCCCCTCAGTCTCTGCGTCTGCCCTGATGGCGAATGCTCGGAGATATTTTCCAGTCACATACAGACATGGTAACGTCCAGGCCTGGAACCCACAGCTCGAGTAACCCTTGATCATCAAATTGGAGAATTCCTTCCAGCAAACAAAAACACGGTTCCACGAAGCCTTTGTTGGATTCTCTTCGAACTTCACAAGCTCTCCAGCGACCTTCCAAAAGGTCACAAAAATGTCTGCCCAGGCATTGCCTTCAAGCTTTGGGAGCCTGCTGCCTGTGCTGCGATCATCAAGAAGAGCATATCGGACATCAGAAGCAACATTCATAGAATCCGTGAAATGGTAGAAAGAGTCCAACCGGTCTGGCTCAGCGGGGGTATTCGCGGGTGTAATCACATCGGCTAGCGCTGAGCCGGAGCCAGTGAACTGCGCGTCCTTGAACTTTGCAAATAGAGCCGTCATGGTTTGAGATATTCTAACAGCACTTCACTAGAACATCAGTCGTACAGACCCTTTCTCCATGCTGTGTTCACAACAAACACCAACTGCGTCAAGTGAAAGTTGAAGTCCGTCGCGCTGATAAGGTTCGCGATAAGAGCAGCGGGGCCTTGGCACGCCAAACCCAGGAGGGCCTAGCGCCGATTCCATGCTTGGTTAAGCGAAGCCCACAGCCCTAGCACCAACACAGTCGACAATTCTCGTGGGAGTTCGCGGACGGTTCAACAACAAACGACAACGACAACAAAATCCTCTCAAAGTGAGTTGCTCCATTGAAGTGTTTTCGGTCGAATGCTAACATTGCGTCTAGATGGGTAAGTTTGCTTTTCATTTCGCCGTACCCGTGTTCTCGCCGTGTGCAGTTCGGTTGGTGTCCAGAAAGAATTTCACGTTGGGAAAGTCGACGCAAATGCGAGCTGGGAGAAGTCCTCGGGGTCGATTTCGCGATGAGAAGTGTCCCGATTCCGAGTTTTATCGCCGTATTGCAGTTGAAAGATCGTGAAGAGTCAAGCCGGAACCACCGAACACCACGCAAAGCCGGGCCGCCGATTTACCTCTCGAGATATACTATCTGCGCAAGTTCTGACTCTCAATTGTAGGGCGTCTTAACGAATACCAGGTCATTGCGCGCCATCTGCCCACCGAGGCAAACCCAACCCCCAAGATGTACCGCATGAGGATTTTCGCGCCCAACACCGTCGTCGCTAAGTCCAGATTTTGGTACTTCTTGATGAAGTTCCGAAAGGTCAAGAAGGCCACCGGTGAGATCATCAGCGTCAATCAGGTATGTGGCAATTTGGGTTGTGGATGTCATTTATCTTAGGATTGAACGGGCTCTAAGATTCCCTACTTTTAGATCCACGAGAAGCGCCCACAGAAGGTCAAGAACTTCGGTATCTGGATCCGATACGACTCCCGCTCTGGAACACACAACATGTACAAAGAATTCCGCGAGATGTCACGAACCGACGCTGTCGAGGCTTTGTACCAGGACATGGCTGCCCGCCACCGTGCGAGATTCAGCTCCATCCATGTACGCTTGATTTTCGCACCATCCTAGTTTTAGGAAGACCATGGTATACTGACAAACTCATTAGATCATCAAAGTTGTCGAGATTGACAACAAGGATCTCATCCGCCGCCCCTACATCAAACAACTCCTCACCAAGAACCTCAAATTCCCTCTTCCTCACCGCATCGCCAAGCCTCAGGGCAAGCGCGTCTTCGCTGCCTCGAGACCATCCACATTCGCATAAAGAGGTTGCGTTGGGGGGTTTCCTTTACGTGGTGGAGAGTTCAGCAGTGGGAATGGAGTTTGGGTTCGACCGCATTTATGTGACTGCAGGTTATTCCCAGGGCCATGCATAATGAGTCTTAAATGCAGTGTCTGCCAGCAATTGTAACCAATAGGGGTTAGATGGCTACCATTTTCATTCTCCGGCTTATGAACGCAAATATTTCCAATTTCATCGGTTCGGAAAACTGCTCAATTCACTGCCGGGATCTTCACTTATTCAGCACGTAGGACTGCGCAAAAGATGTAAGAGTTCCAAGAATTCAGATGCAGCCCAGATATGCAAGGCTAGATTTGGTTTATTCTGATAAAAAGTTTTGTAAACTTCATTCTGGAAATAGGCAAAAAATCATATCATCGGATCTAGTTAACTATGCATTGTGGAACCAACCAAAAAATGCGTCGGTTATGGAAACCAATATCTCATTCACCTTGATTTATCCCTGTACCTCCATCATCTAATTTTATTTTCTTTCTCTCCATGTTTATCATTAATACTCGTAAACCCTTTGGACCCGTCAACCTATGAACTGTGTTTGCATCAGAGCATAGTGAAATGAAGAAAAAAGAGGCCAAAAAGATCCAGAAACAAACGAACCAGTCAAGATTTACCGATACCCGAGAGACTGCAAAAGGACTATCTTAGTCGCGGAAGAGTTTTGTCCCTGTCCCAACGTCCTCGGGCTTCGTGAAATGATATTATCGCTTTGTCAGCACAACGTCATTGTGAGGATCCAAGTTCTCATTTTCCCGCAATCCGACCTCAACAACATAACAACTAGCCGACCGCTGCAATTGAGCTCAATTCTCGTGCTGCCCACGGATATTCAAGATGTTTGCTCGATTTATGTTCCGGACCTGTAGGCCCGCAGGCCAGGTAGGTTGCAACCGTTTCAATTGAAAGCGCGCGGTCGTTGACAATTGGGGTTCTGATCACCATAGGCCGTTCGCAAATACGCTTCCGAAGCCTCACCAAAGCCATCGTCCAACGCCCCATTGTACGGCGGCCTGGCTCTTGCGGCTGGAGGCGCTTACTATTATTGGCAACGCCAACAATCTGATGCGCCGAAACCTTTGGAGGTTGTGCGCAAGGAACGTCCAAATGTTTTCGTCGGTGGTGATCAAGGCTGGGTCGACCTGAGACTTGTCGACATCCAAATGCTTAGCCACAATGTTAAGAAGTTTCGCTTCGAATTTCCAGATCCAGAGGCAGTATCGGGATTGCATATCGCTTGTATGTTGATTCTCAATTGATCGTCTTTGTAACGTTGGATTGTTGCTAATTATCACTTCACTAAAGCTGCTCTGTTGACCAAATACAAGGGTCCAAAGGATGAGAAGCCAACTATTCGCCCCTATACGCCAGTCAGTGAAGAAGGTAGGATTTTTGGCTCCAATATTGACCTCACTCCTTTTCACTGACAGCTCCCTAGGGCAACCCGGGTACTTGGAGCTCGTTATCAAGCGGTATCCTAATGGCCCTATGTCCAACCATTTACACAACATGGCCGTCGGCCAACAGCTCTCCTTCAAAGGGCCCATTCCCAAATACCCTTGGGAAAGAAACAAGCATGATCATATCTGCATGATTGCCGGCGGCACAGGTATCACGCCAATGTACCAGATCATCCGTAAAATCTTCAACGACCCCGAGGACAAAACGAAAGTGACACTTGTCTTTGGTAACGTCACCGAAGAGGATATCTTGCTAAAGAACGAATTCGAATTGCTAGAAAACACCTATCCCCGGCGGTTCCGCGCATTCTATCTCCTTGACAACCCCCCGGCAGATTGGACACAGGGTACCGGCTATGTTAGCAAAGAGCTGCTGAAGACTGTGCTGCCGGAGCCGAAGACTGAAAATATCAAGATCTTTGTTTGCGGACCTCCTGGGATGTATAAGACTGTCAGCGGTCCGAAGACAAGTCCAAAGGACCAGGGCGAGCTTACCGGCCTTTTGAAAGAGCTTGGATACAGCAAGGACCAAGTCTACAAATTTTAGGCGTCATATTTTCAGCGTCGAGCGCTTTTACAGACTTGTCGTGTATCTCGGTTGCTTCTTGAGCCTGAGGACGCTTTTATAGAATTAGTAGTACACGATATTACCTTGTACCAATACAATAACCATACCAGTCGGAGTATTTTGTCAGTTGAGCTTATGTTCCTCAATTCAAAGCAACTAATGAGAACATTCGGCAACCGTTTTAAGGAAACTTCTTGGTTTTGCAGTTTCCCTCTTACGTATCCACGATGGAAGAGCAGGGTCCAAGACTGAAGTTATTGAGAAATGAGAGCTGTCACGTATGGGTGGAACTCCATGAATCGTGCAACGTAAAGCCGTGGCAAAAGGGCCCTTCAGCCATCAATTATGCCATAGTATGCTTTCGAGTCAATGCACCTACAACCGCTCTATAAATTGAACCTATGGCACTAGACTGGGCTATAATCACCCCTGGGAACAGCAGAGACTGGCTGCGCGCGTTGCCTAAAGGCACTCAGAGCCGGTTCGTGGAATTTCCCAATTACGCCCTTCAGCTCTAAATCACAGGATGGATGTGACCTAGAGTATCTAGGGGTGCTGGAAAGAAGAATATTTCAATGAACTGGAAACATAACTATATCTAAGAATTCAGGCAGAAGGCTTAGAGGACCACTACTAGGGACTCCAGCGCGGTTAGCAGAACTAATTCCAAGCTCAAACGAAAGAGGAAGCCCCTAGATATTATTTTATTGAAAGACCCCATAGGCATATATGGAGCTGAAAAGTGGTTCTAGAGAAAGGGCTGACTATTCCACAGACCCCATGTTTCCTTCACAGTTGTAGCCATCCATAACTAATGAAAGGGTAAGAAAGTCGGCTCCAGAGGCAGGCTGGCCGGGAAACGAAGGCCCCTATCATTCTTCAAAACCAGGGTCCAGGGACGAATGGAATTTGCCGCAATTGAGATGTCAATGTCTTTTCACCAAATGAGACGCGTTGCTCATCCAGGATTTAGAACCGTCCTCATCGGCCGTGCTCTCCTTTGCAAATGAAGGCAAATCTTCATCAACTGCTCGCGGCCGAGGAATTTCAGCGGTGTCAATGAATGTAGGAGGTAGTGTGAGGTTGGACCAACTGGTACTTCCAAAATGGCGAAGACAGCAGCAGCTCATCAATGGCTGGGGTAGAGCTAGGTATCATCATAAGTCTTAAAATGAATGTTTATGTTGCTGAGCCAATTTCAATTTCAATGATTGTACAGAGTACTCCCTAACTAGTTATGTACTGGAGAAGGCATGGTGGTGGCCTAGATTTGGTTGAATGCCTAAAGTCAGGAGCCTATCCCTGGAAAGCGTCTCCATTAGGACATCACAGGCGTTGCGCACCCGAGTTCCAGAGCCCAGGGCTTAACCGGCAGCCTTCAGGTTGTGTAGATTGCTCCCATCAACCCACAAAGCCAAAGGCATTCTGAGAGGTTATCCTTGACTCTTTTCCCTGCAGGCATTTTCCTTCGAGAAATACTGTGAGTGGAAGGAAGAGTTTTCTTTAAGTGTTTTCATAGCTCTGATGAAAAATGGTGGTTAGCTAGGTCCTGAATGCGTAGGAATCCCCTCTAGAGTCGCTCTTGGTGGACTTCCATGGGGTCCCTTCTCTGCGGCGGGTTGGGCATCCACGAGCGGCCATCCACAGGGACTTGGCACAGCTAAAGTTAAGCGGGGGCTCAAGGGAGGGTAGAACGGCCACGACTCTACACATTTCAGGATGTACACATTGAAGCGGTACTCTGGGACTTTAAGCTGAGCCGGCCGCATAGTTATTGCTTTATAGGATATGCAGATTGATTTATCAAATTGAACATCACAGGCCCTACGCAAGATCAGGCTGGGGAATAGTGCGGGAAAAATGGGCATTGACCACTGCCCTCCTAGTAGTTTTTCGGGGGGCAGGAGTGCTAAAACTCAGGCGTGCCCAGCAACCCGTTGGGGGGCCCAGCCCGAAACAAAGAAGGGAGGGAAGTTTTAAGCGTTAGGCGATCGCGGGCACCGCGGAGGGCAAGCTCGTCTTTGTGAGCAGCACGCTTAAAGTTGCCCTCTAGCTGGGGGCGCAACGGGAGCAGCAGTGCTGCCGCCAACTCTGCAAAGGGCACCCGGCCCCAAAGCGCCCCCCCGGGCGTCGTGAATGGATCAATGGATCAGCCTTTAGAGCTAAGTATTTAGTGGACGCCATTCCCACCAACCCCCAAAATTTCTGCCTCTTGGATTTCTTTTCCTCCCTTTTTCCCACTCTGCCTCTGCTTCGCAGCTATTCTCGCTCCCTCAGCAAACAACCAGCTTTAACATCGATAATTTGCGATAATTTTTTTATTCGAGTCCCACGCATTTGCGAGGCTGTGCGATTATTTGACTGATTGGTGTGTTCGCAATGGCGCCGCCCAAGCCTGAGCAACCGCTGTCGGTGCCGCCACCGCAGCAGTCCCAACCGCCGGCACAACAGCCCAAGGACAGCACCGCGATTGTCACCGTCAACATCGACGACTTCACCAGAACACGCGATAGCGTAAGTCCAGCGAGATTCTGCGTTTGGATTATCGTCTTCATTGGCTTTCATTGCGCTGGTTAACCGCCAAAACACGGACTGGCGACTCGAGCATCTGAATGTTTTGTGTTGTCGCGTCACCCAGCAAGCTCTCTTCCCCAAGCAGTTGACACCCCGCTACTTTGTACCCAGTGGCGGTATCCCCGCCTTGCGCCCGCACTGAACACCTCCTGGCTCTCCCCGCATGATTATTTCACTTCTCAATTGCAAATTGACCGACCTCAGACCGCTAATTTTCTTTCTCAGGTTATCTTCGCGCTTGCATCTCTCCAATCGGCCGTTTCCGACCTCTCCAAGGCTTACATCAACCATGCCAATACGGTCTTAAATCGCAACCCATCTTCGCTTGATCTAGGTGGAATCACCACCAACCTGCTTGAGAATGGCCTGCTTCCCGTCCCGCGACCCCATAGCCCAGCGGGTGATGGCGATCGGAAGAAGAAGCGCAAGCGCGCCCCTCCGGATCCCAATGCGCCAAAACGGGCACTGACTCCATACTTTCTGTATATGCACCACAATCGCCAGAAAATCGCAAGCGAGCTGGGTGAGAACGCCCGGCCTAAAGAGGTGGCTGATGAGGGCACAAAACGCTGGGCGCGCATGAGCTCTCAGGAGAGAGAGGTAAGCTTTCTGCAAGTATCCGCTGTTGAACACTACATATCAACTAACCGGCGTCGTCTTCTTTATCTCAAGACTTGGCAAAGCCTCTACAAACAGAATCTTGATGTCTACAAGGCCAAGATGCGTGCCTACAAAGCCGGCCTGTCTGTTCCCGAAGACGAAGCGGTCAATGAGGCCGTGGCAGCCCAGCAACAATTGCACGAAGGGGTCCGCCAGGCCACCGAAGAGACCTCTGATGAATCCACATCATCGTCCTCTGACGAGGGAGACGAAACCCCCGAGCCCATTCGCGAACCGACGCCGCCCCGTTCGTCTAAGCGGCGCCGCACCATCGACCTCAAGAGCGTGTTAGCCCCTGCTCCCTCTCCACCAAAGAGCTCACCTGCCAAGAAAGCTTCACCAGAGAAGAAGAAGAAGGCAGCGAAAACCCCAACGACGGAGGAGAAGCCCAAGCGTGCGCCTGTTGCTGTTGCCGAGACTTCCAAGCCTGAAAAACGGACCCGCAAGAAGCGCAAGAGTGAAGCTGCTGAGTAAACGGAATTATCTACTTTGCTGTCTGTGGGATTTTCTCGTCGTACTAGTTGTGTTTACGGTGTTGCTCCAAGGCAGTGAATTGGTAGCCTATCTGCATTCGTTTCGGGTTCAAGTTGTGCGTGTACTACAAATTGATCGTTGTTGTGTATTGACTAGTGCGAGTATCTAGGAGAAGGATGCAAAATGGAGGATGATTGCTTGCAATCTTGCCTGTGTCTTCTTTGATTTGAGCCAAAATTGCAGAGTTTGCGTTTTCAATCTATCCTTAGTGTTAAATGTAAAAAGTCAACTGTCAAGTCTTTAGAAGTATTATCTCTGAGCTGATGTCCCACTGTAGCCGTCGGAGGCCCCGGGTGGGCCGGCCATCAGCAAAACTAACGGGCTTAGCCGTCGTGGGCCTGGGCTGTCGGCAACCATCCTCCCATGGATAAAGAGACCGGATGGCGTTCATCGAAGTGCCGGAGTATCCTGGTGCTTGACCCGTTGGATTGCACACTCATCGAGGGCAATCAGGACCTCTTCCTTCTGAGAAGCCCCCCTGCTGCTGGATGCCTGTGGTTGACGGAATCAATGATAATTCAAGGCACAAAGCTTGATTGCAACATTTCCCCTCCGGTCGCTTAGTTTGTCGCCAGCTTTTTTATATAAAGTTGGGTGCCCTTCCGGCTATTCTTATAATCTTGCTCTCCAAATGTTCTTTTTGCCCTTTCTTTTCCCTTCTTCGTCCAGTTGTCCGGCCGCTGTGTAGATCAACCATATCCTTTTTCTTTTGATATATTCCGTCCTCTCAATTGACGGCCGTCTCCCGTAGTAATCCTTGGATCTTGATCGACCGGTGACAAGACACGCCAAGGTGGCCTTTTGCAACTAGCAATGCAGCTCATCCCTCGAGAGGTAGGCCATTCGCCAGCCCTACGTGGCTCAATTCTCTTTTGAAACGGAATCTCCCATTGAAACGATCGGTCATCTCCCCTACAAAAGCGGGCATCTCGTTTCGCTTGCATTCTCCCAAGTGCAATGGCTAATTCCTCGACCAGATCGATAAGCTCACCATCTCCAACCTGGGCTTCTTGGCTCAGCGCAGATTGGCTCGCGGCGTGCGCTTGAACCATGCAGAGGCGACGGTGAGTGGTAACTAGTTTGATCGCTAGTTGGTTCTTGAATTCGAGTTTCCCGGAATCCCTCATGGCTGACATGGATCTGTAGGCCCTGATCGCGTCCAATCTCCAAGAGGTGCGTGGGAATGCCGCTCCCAAGACGCTTGGAAAAGGCTTGGAACATTAGGCCTGCTGCGACTTTGGGGTTTGAGCCTGCGAAAGCGGGTTGATGTGATCACTCTTGCTAACATGCGGTTGAACAGCTTATTCGCGATGGAAATCACTCCGTGGCAGATCTCATGTCAATTGGCAAGGAGATGCTTGGGCGTCGCCATGTCCTTCCAGGCGTCGTGGCCACACTGAGCCAGATCCAGGTTGAAGGCACTTTTCCAACCGGAACGAACCTCGTCACTGTCGTGAATCCTGTCAGCTCAGACGATGGAAATCTAGAGAAAGCTCTCTACGGCAGTTTCCTGCCTGTGCCGCCAATGGATGCTTTTCCGGATCCCAATCCGGATGATTATCAGCCGGAGAAGATGCCCGGCGCGTTAATACCAGTCAAAACCAATAAGAAGATCGAGCTGAACGCCGGGAGAAATAGAATCATGCTCAAAGTGACAAGTCGAGGAGATCGGCCAGTTCAGGTTCGTACATATACAAACTTCCATGCTTGCACACAACTATTAAGGCTCGGCTAGGTCGGCTCGCACTATCATTTTATAGAGGTAAACCCGCAACTGGATTTCGATCGTGCAAAAGCTTATGGTTATCGGCTCGATATTCCAGCTGGGACGTCCATCCGCTTTGAACCCGGCGCCACCAAGTCAGTTCCTCTCGTTGAAATCGGCGGCATTCGGTTCATTCGGGGAGGCAATGCTATGGCATCTGGACTGCTGGATTACCGGCGAGTTGACGAGATCCTGATGAAACTCCAAAAGGCTGGATTTGCGTATACCCCAGAGCCGAAAGCAGGCCCGCAGTTAATCGAACCTTGCTCGATGACGCGCGAGGCATATGCTCGCATGTTTGGCCCGACCACAGGAGATTTGGTCAGACTTGGATCGACGAATTTATGGGTGAAAGTCGAGAAAGATCTGACTCGCTATGGTGATGAAAGCTCCTTTGGTGGAGGTAAATCTATCCGAGATGGCATGGGACAAGCTACAGGAAGGCACTCTGCAGATACCTTGGACGCTGTCGTGACCAACGCACTGGTCATCGACTGGACTGGTATTTACAAGGCTGATATCGGCATAAAGGACGGGCTTATATGTGGAGTCGGCCAAGCGGGAAATCCGGACGTGATGGACGGCGTGACTCCGAACATGATAATCGGCTCTACCACCGATGTTATCTCGGGGGAAGCAAAGATCGTGACTGCGGGAGGAATTGACACGCATGTACACTTTATATGCCCGCAGCAGGTGGAGGAAGCCCTCGCCTCTGGCGTTACCACAATGCTTGGTGGTGGCACTGGTCCTACTGAGGGTTCTAACGCAACCACATGTACGCCGGCTCCCAATCATTTCAAGAGGATGATGCAAGCCTGTGACCGTTTACCCATGAACATCGCCTTGACCGGAAAGGGTAATGATAGCGGCCTCCCATCCCTACGAGACCAATGCCGTGCGGGGGCTGCCGGACTGAAAGTGCACGAGGATTGGGGTGCAACGCCAGCTGCTATTGATACCTGTCTCAAGGTTTGCGACGAGTACGATATTCAGTGCCTAATCCATACCGACACATTGAATGAATCTGGCTTTGTTGAACAAACCATCAAGGCCATCAATGGCCGAGTCCTCCACACATATCACACTGAAGGTGCCGGAGGAGGTCACGCTCCAGATATTATATCCGTGGTCGAGCATCCAAACGTTCTTCCTAGTAGCACAAACCCCACGCGGCCATTCACAACCAATACTCTCGACGAACATCTTGACATGGTCATGGTCTGTCATCATCTGTCCAAAGACATACCGGAAGATGTCGCCTTCGCAGAAAGCCGCATTCGATCCGAGACTATCGCTGCCGAAGATGTGCTCCACGACATGGGAGCGATCAGCATGCTCTCGTCGGACTCGCAAGCCATGGGCCGCTGTGGAGAGGTGGTTACTCGAACATGGACCACGGCCCATAAGAACAAACTGCAGCGTGGGCCTCTCAAGGAAGACGAAGGTACAGGCGCTGATAATTTCAGAGTCAAGCGCTATATTAGCAAGTACACCATCAATCCTGCTATTGCGCAGGGAATGGCCCATACCATCGGGAGCGTGGAAGTTGGGAAGACCGCTGATCTGGTTCTGTGGAAGTTTGCGAATTTTGGAACGAAGCCGAGTATGATATTGAAATCAGGAATGGTTGCTGCGTCTCATATGGTATGCTACTTTTCTTTTTCCAGAAGTTGACCGAATCTCTGGTGATAGTTATTCATACTAACATATTGGGCTCCAGGGTGACCCTAACGGCTCCATCCCGACCATCGAGCCCATTATTATGAGGCCAAGTTACGCTGTAAGTCTTAGAACTATTACCATCTTGTTCAACCACACCATTGAACTAACCCCTGAAACCCTTTTTTTTTCACGCCCCAAAGAGCCTTACCCCTCAAGCCTCGATCATGTTCGTATCCGAAGCATCCATCAAGCTCGGCATCATCAGCAGCTATAATCTGCAAAAGCGCATCGAATCAGTGAAGAACTGTCGAAATGTTAGTAAACGCGATATGAAATACAATGACACGATGCCTAAAATGAGGGTCGACCCGGAGAGTTATGTAAGTTACTGAACCGCATTGTCTCAGAATCTTTATTTGCGAAATAGGCTGACGAGACGGCTGTATAGGTCGTTGAGGCGGATGGGGAAGTGTGCACGGCTGATCCAGTGTCGGAATTGCCGTTGACGCAGGAGTGTTATGTGTATTAAGAGGGTGGAACGAAACGGGGGAGACATTTACACTATCGTGATCTATAATCAATAGGGTTATTTTCTTTTAGAATAGCACATAATCGTCTTAAACCAAACGCTCGTCCTCAATACCTCCGAAATATGGATAGATAGAACCACCGATTATATGGCACTAAACTAACACGAGAACCTCCAATTTATCGCCCTTGATGACGCCCGCTCCAGCGAAGAAACAGAAAATATAAGCAAATATTGTTTAAAGCTCCTCATCCTCCACGGTATGGTTATTACCTGCCGACACGAGCGAGTGGAAAAGCGCCCATGTGTCATCCTTGGCCGCACGATACGCCGCCATCCTCGAATGAGTCCTTTTCAACGCAGACACTACCCGACCCTCACATCTTTGCGGGCTAAGCGTTACATCGTCGTCATCATCATCCAAGGGGATTTGGATAGATTCTTGAGATCCAAACGCGGACGGCGAGAGAGATAGGGGGCTGCTCGATGCGTATTCATATTCTGCGTTTTCGAGTTCGGCTTCGAGTTGAATATTGGCGTCAATATCTAGCGCGGATTGACTATCACCCCTTTCCGCGATTGAGCTGACAGACGGTTGTGTGTTGAGATTATCAAGCTGCGATGAGGAGCGTGGTTGGGACTGCGAGTCTGCGAATGAGGATTCAAAGTAGAAATCAAGTTCGTTGTTGAGAGCCTTGGCTTTCAAAGCTTGTTTTATGGCTTGGATCTTGATGTCCGGTGACGATGAAGATTCGTCTGGTTGGGAATTCGAAAGATTGCTTGTAACTTGCGACGGGAAAGAAAAGGACAGTTCCGTATCAACGGTTGTAATCTGTCTGGTCCCAAGGGGCCGCTCGTTCTCTTGCTGGGATTGCTGCTGCTCTGAATCTGAACTTATGTGGATAACAGGGTATTCGATTCTCTCCGGTACGACTAGCTCCTGAGAGGTACCGGTTTCGATGTTAGATCTTTGCGTTGATCCAGCAGTCGAGGATGCATTGCTGTCAAGGCGTGGTCTCTTTCGCGGGCGAAAGTCATCTTGCTCGATCATACTCTTCATCTCGTTATCATGGGAGAATACGGCGCCTGAACATAAATGGCCAAATAGATTTTCCATGGAGACTGTTTCAGTCCAGGTATCTGCGTCGACCGTGCAGGGATACACGTCAGCCGGCCGGAAAGCTTCAACCAAGCCACAGAGTTCTTCATAGGAGGAATGGCGGGAGTAAGGGAATCTCTATCATGTTGTTAGTATCCAATATCAACTTTCGGGAATGGTAATACTACAATAGTATTTGGTAAACTGCTGATTTTATTTGGGGTGAGCGTTGGAAGAATATCGCTTTTTGATCCTTGACTCAACATCGCCACTAGGCTTTTCAGTGTCATCTCGTCCTGCTCCTTAAAACCGTAGGAGTCCAGCGATAACGACTTTGACTGAGTTTCATATGCCTTCGAGACTGCGTCTATAATAGCTTTCCTTGTTGACGGATCCTCGATGTACTCGGAGCACAAGTCAGCAAAACGTTCCACGGCAAATTTATCAGGAAGTTGAAGGTCGTGGCTCTGTCTGAGATCACCCATTCCACCGCCCGCTCCCAATTCCAGCACATCGCAACCTTCTTTGGTACGGGTAATTATTGGAGTTATATAGACCGAAGGCCCTGACTCTATCGTTGAACACACAACTCCGGGCTCGCAGCTATGGACTTTTACCGAGGGCGTATTTGTTTGGTCCGTGAGACAGCCAGACACTCTGGAATTGCCCAAAGTGAAGCCACAGAGATACGGAGCCTCGTCTACTCCAAATTCATGGTTAGCTCTTAGCGAAAGCGATCGATAAAGCGCCAATTGATATTGGTCAACGTGTATCTATTGGTGCGTTAATGGCAGTAGCATGAAGTGCTGGCATATTCATTGAGGTACCTTCGTGTTGAGTGCGGCAGATAGAGCTATCCAAACATCTTCATAGCCAAATGTCCAATTTCGAAGGTAAAATATAGTACCTTCAGGGTAGGCTTTGACCTTTTGTAAGAGCTCTCGAATTCCCTCTGCTTTGGAAGGGAAAGTCGCGTAGATATCTGATTTGGTAGCAAAGGTTGTGTCAAGGTATATCCTGTTGAGACGCCGGTTTCCCAGTGTATAGGGAATAAGGACGGGATTTCTGATCAGGCTTTGAACCCACCAAGGCTCCGCTAAATTCGATAAGCCGCTGCTCACGTTCATAGCGTGGGGTGTAGAAATAAACCATACCTCTGACATCGCCGGTGTAGAGAATCGCCTTGTCAGGTCCTTCGATCAAAAACATAACAGCACCGGGGCAATGGTTTGCATTGAATAGAGTGACACGAATAATATTTCCGGGTGTCAATTCAATTTCAGTAGGGACTTGGAGTGGAATCGGTCTCTAATTCACATGGTGTAAGCCAACAGCTTACCACTTCAACGAATGGCGATTGTACCAGTAGTTTGGCCAGGTGTTTATATTCCTGCTTCCTCGACTCGAGTATCCCTTTGGCAAAATTCATTCGATGGGGATACTTTTCAATGCGTAGGAGGATCTGCAAAGGTTCAGTTGATGGCTCTAAACATCGCCAGATTGCCTGGTCTACTTGCCTCCCTTGTAGCTGCAGAGCAGTAAACGAAGGGTGATCTGAGGGATTCCAGCCCCTGGAGATGGTCACTATGCACATGGCTCAGAAAACAGGCCCGAGGCGGGGGCTTGTCGGGGTTCTTTCGAAAATAATCGACTATCGAAGCATGGTCAACGCCTTTACCTGTCTAGCATCTCAGGATGTTGGGGCCATAGTTACTTCGGATCAGAGGAAATTCTAGGGTAGTCAGTGGGTTGAATTCACACTCGATAGCGAATGATCAACGGACCTTCGATAATACCATTGAATGTCGACATTATGTCCACAAGTAGTTTGCTTTCATTGCCTAGATTCCGTCACTTCTGTGGTCTGCGGACGCCCTCAAGCAACCCTGCTGTTCGGATAAGGGAGAGTCAAGTATTAGTTATAACTTACTGTTGCGCTTTCAACAGCGGCAACCGCAGCTCTCAATGCACCTAGAAATGTCCAGCATTTTCTGGACAGTCACCCTGACATCAGCCTCCTTTCGCATCTCTTGCTCTCTCACTTGATTCTCTTCAAAGGAGCCTGTTGGGGCTGAGGACCAGCTACCACTCCCTGTGGCTTGCCAAGGCTGTTGTTTGACATGTTTGATCCCAGTTTCCTTGTTGGTCGATCGGCCATGAAGGAAGAGAGAATAGAGTCATATTGCTTCAGCTGTCTTTTACAATCAAGTGGTGACTCTTTGTGGTGCTTTATAGATACTAGCTACACAATGGTTTGCCAGTTCCATGATATCTCTAGTGATCTTGCAGGCGACCTTTCCCATCAGCACAACGGGCCAATAACTAGTTCACTAGTTATAGTGAATTAAGGTGAGATCTTGCCCAGTGTTCATTACTAGTTATTTGTCTTTTTATACATCTCTAGCCAGCCGACAATGGCCTCAACACCTTGTGACAACTGCGCTTCTATGCATAGACCTAGTCTCAAATTTGTCAACCATTGCCGTATTTCTAGACTGAGGACGCACATCAGAGCCTGTAGCATATAAAACGCCCACTTTGGAAGCCTTTGTTAGTAATTGACCAACCCAATAGGGGAGATTAACTCTTCTCCTTTTGTACGGTTGAAAACTGAAATACGGCATGGAGTATAGATTGTGAGCTCTCCTAGTCTTCCAACCTGGGGAATCACATGATAGTTATCACGTCGTCAAGCAAGTCCTTAAAGAGCCGGGAAATCTTTGAGGATTGGGACGTGAGTGCCCGACAGCTTGTTGCATTGACAACATCCAGGAATTTGAAGCCTTGTTGTTTGCGAAAGAATCAACCAAGGAAAAGTCTTGACAAACACCAGGCTGAGCCTTGAGATGGGAATTTCACTGAGACCCAAGCCACTGACGAAACTGGGAGCCTTTATCTTGTTGAACATCGGCTAATACCATCTCTTCCGTGAGCAGGCAGCTGGACGGCAACCATAATGAAGGATCAATCGGCGGATGGAATCGGATCCGGGGCTGCAGATTCAACAAGCCGTAACAGCAAAGACTCGCGGGCCCACGGTTACTTTGACTTGGTTACGACTGTTCCTATTGATTGCAGTGCTCCCTGTCGCCCCCACTGGCTTCAACGAAGAGCCTGGCTGAGGCAATCAATCCCAGGCCGTGGCTGGCTTCTCGCCGTCTCGCGATCATCGCCTAGAACCGACGCTGGCCCTTCCCTTCGGCTGACCAAAACGTTTTTCCTGGGGCGCGGGCCCCTGTGTCTCCAGGAAACCACCACGTTCGCTTCTCATATTCGACCAGCATCTGTGGGAAGCCTGCAAGTAGAATGAAGCCACGATGGTACTCTCGAAACGGGTAACCTTCCGTGCAGACTGCATTAACGCAGCCGGCCAGCTATATTAGGACATTGCCCTTGTAGACTGTTACGGCATGGGCTATTTGCGCGGGGCTGTGAGGTTGAAAATAGCAGATGCACCTTGGGGTTAAAGACGGATAAGAAACCGACTCTGCGACTCTCTCGAGCTTCAACGACGTCGATGGCTTGGTCTTCAATACATTCTGGCTGCTGAAGATGATGCACGGCTGTTGCAGCTGACTTTGATGATCCGTGAGACGCCTTTTTGCCTCGTGAGCGAAAGGCGCCTGCATTGCCCCGTCATCCGTCAGTTGTTGGTTTAAACGCCCGCCTTTTCTCGAATTCTTTTGCTTCCTCTCTGCTCTCTTCCCGGGTCGACAAAAAAAAAGGAAGAAGAATGAATTAAAACAAAATTGAAAAAATAAAAAAGCCCAGGCCTCTTTGTTTCACGTCTCTTCCGCTTTGAGTTATTAAGGGGGAGACCGGCGGAAACACATCCTCGCCGACATCTCAGTCGCTTCACTAATCAACTACATTCACTCAAAGAAACGAATCCTCCCGAGAACTGCTGCCTACAGACTCCAATCCTGAGGCAAAAGTCTCCGTGGCCCGAGCACGCTTCACCTCCGCTGGCTTCTGCAAATCTTCGCTGAACAACGCACCCTTCGCTCCCCTCCACCGCCCAAAGGACAAGATCTCACTTTATTCGCACTGAATCTACAGAACTAGCGCAAGATCTGTTGTTTCCTTTGCAATCCAGCCTCCTCGAGATTGTCAAGTCGCTACACCAACCGCCCTGTACTCTGGTTGAGACGGTCAACTAGAGACATCCTCCTTCCATAAATCGCCTGTCCCCGCCGTTGTGAACACGTACCCAAACTATCGCTCGCTTCACGATATCACCGATTGATTCCTTCATTGGTTTTCCCTTCCTGGAAACCCGCAGGCGCCAGCAGCGGCAATCGCGATGCGTAAACCGGCGGTTTCACAGCTCGTTTACAATGTCCTCTTCCCTAAACCCCGTTCAAATGATCCTACAAACTTCGCCTCTCACATAATGAGAAATCTTGTCCCCGAAGTCCGTGTCGAAATAGCAACGTTCTATGGGTCTTCAGATTGCATTGAGGCGCAGTATCCCGGTCTAGACTATTCATTTCCGCCGCACCGTATGAGATTGAGCCGGTTTCACCACCATCGGAAGTTATTTAAAGCCTTTGACGAATTACGGCTGACGGCAGAGGAGATTGCAGTACTTTGTCGCTGGGAAGGAACAAAATTTGCTCGTGATCGATATGAGCGAGAGGCAAGAGTGCATGTGCGGGACACCACGGTGGATGGTATCCTTGTCCAGGGTGTGCACGTACCAGCGTCGGTTACTTGGTACGGGAGCGACATCGATTCAGACTCGCAGTTGGCGCCGAGCGATGTAGAGCCTCACGGGCCTGATACAGCCTCGAGCGACACTACAGCAGGGGAAGAAAGTAGCGAGGACGAGCTGGAGGAGAGCGTTGGATTTGCGCTGAACCAGCATCTTCTCGAAGCCACAGCAGCACGGGAGCGGGGAGCGAACGTATCCCTTGATGATGTTTGGGAACAGTGGCTCAAGGACGCCATCGAGCGTGGCAACTATGAAGACATCCTCCATACAATCAGGGACGGCTCCGGCGATTTTTCCAGGGCGATCCCATCTCCCAGTGCAATATACGCGAATAATGTCGCTACCCGTCAAGTCATGCAGCGCGCACCCAGCACGGCGCTTACTCCCGGGCTTCACATTCCAGACCCATCGGCCGGTCCTCAACCGAATTCGAGATGATTCGCTTTTGGCACTTCCTTCTTTGGATTGTTCAATACTATTATATCAGACTGGTTATCTTTTAAGACCCCCGCTGTTGCAAAGAACAACTGGATACTTCTTTTGCATAGCGTTGGCGTGGCGCTACTGGCGGTTTATGGCGTTCAGATTTCTTTCTCCTGGAATGAAAAGCGGGTGTTGGCAAAGGCGGCGGTGATGTCCGATATACAAATTTTCTGGTTTTTCTACCCAATTTCTTACTTTTTCTGATTTATGCAGATAGACTCTTCGTTGTGATTCTTATTGTTTTGTCCAGATCCTGCTTCAGGCACGATAATGGCGAGAATACAGAGAAAATACTTACTTTGGCCCTCGTTTTTCTATGTCACAGCAATAGATGCAAGTAGTCCGACTACACCCCTTGACAACTGACGCCCGTTTCTCCGGATAAATCTTCTACGACGGGTCAAGGGGAAACTCATGCTGCCGAAAGCCAACTGCTCGTGTGCCTTGAAACTAAACCTCACAGCCTTTCCACCATGCCCATGGTTCACCAGTCCAGCAAACCATCAATCGAGCGAATAAGCACATCGTCTCCGCCAGCCCGATCGTCGCGCCCATAGTTCCTCCGCCGGTTCGCCATCCCACCTCCGCATCCGCCCGCCACTCCCACTCCAGCTCCGACAGGGCCCGGTCCACAACGAGCTTCAGCAAAGGCTGTGAGAACCCCGGATTACGCAGAAAAAAATTGGCAACGGCAAGCAGCGTAGAGATGCGGTCGGAACCCAGATGGGGTTTCAAACACGAGCGATTCGACTTCGCTGCAGGAGGAAGAGGGGATCCCCGGGCCGCTCGCAATTCAAAAAGCCTTCTTATGGGCTGCTTGGCCCCTCGCTTCTGTTCCATTGGATTGTTTCCTTTCTTTTCTTCTTTGACTTGAGGTCTTTTGTTCGCTTTGGAATTGGACGAGGATGCTGCGGCTTTCTGTTCTGTTGGGCCTCACGGCCGCTACGATCGTTGTAGCCCGTCTGTTGTCGATTGGTCGTCGCCCGAAGAATTACCCCCCGGGCCCTCCAACGGTGCCTCTGTTTGGGAATATGCTTCAGGTATGCAGCCCTGCTCTCCAGAATCTGCAAAAGATTTTCTAAGAATTCGTTTTGGTGAACAGATGCCCAAACGTGATGCTCATCTACAGTTTGCCAAATGGGCCAAGGAATACGGCCCGATCTACAGCTTGATGCTGGGTACTCAGTGCATGATTGTGCTGTCGAGTGACGAGGCGGTTAAAGCACTTCTGGATAAGAAGAGCGGGATCTACTCGGACAGACAGGAGATGTACATCGGACAGAGAGTGTGCAGCGGCGGTTTGAGACTGCTGATGATGGTATGTTGTTCATTCTCTGCGCTTTATATCACTCTGAACAATTTGTTAACCACGATATTAGGAATATGGACCGAGATGGCGCGGGGTATGAATATTGATCTTGCCAGCTTATGAACCGTCTGTCTGACCACCGTTTGTTTTACAGTTCCGCAAGATGGTCCATGGGCTCCTGAATGTGACCACCTCCAAAAGCTATGTGGTGTACCAGGTGCTTGAAAACAAGCAAATGCTTTACGAATTCCTGACAGAGCCGGACCGGTTCCTGTATCATATCCGTCGGTATTCAAATGCACTGACCACCACGATGGTCTTCGGCTGGCGTACCCCAACCTACGAGGACCAGAAAATGAAACAGCTATTCGATGGCTTTTCTGAATTTGCAGAGCTCAACCAAGCCGGCGCTGCTGCCTTGATTGACTTTTTCCCGTGGCTCAGGAAGCTACCGGACTTCCTTCTCCCAGTGCACAAACTCGCCAAGGAACTGCACAAGCACGAAAGGGCTCTTTACCTGGGCCACTGGCTTAAAGCAAAGGAAGACATTCGAAAGGGCACCATCAAACCCTGCTTCTGCGTCGGCATGGCCGAGGCCCAAAAGTATGACGGTTTCGACGATGCTCAAGCTGCATACATCTCTGGGACATTGCTAGAAGCCGGCTCCGACACCACCTCCAGTACCCTATATGCATTTGTCCAAGCTATGCTATTGTACCCCGATATCCAGCGCCGGGCACAGCAGGAAATCGACAAAGCTGTGGGCCCTGACCGCTTACCCGACATGAACGACCAAGAGAGCCTCCAATACATCCGGGCAATCATGAAAGAAACGCTCCGCTGGATGCCCACCACCATCCTCGGCGCAGTCCCCCACGCCGTCACCCAAGACGATCACTACATGGGCTACCTGATCCCCAAGGGCGCCGGCGTCATGAACAACGTCTGGGCCATCCACCACGACGAAAAACGCCATCCCAACCCGCGCGTCTTCGATCCGGACCGCTACATCAATGACCGCCAAAGCCTCGGAGAATCCGCAGCGAATCCCGACGGCACGAAGCGCGATCAATTCACATTCGGTGCCGGTCGCCGCATCTGCCCTGGCATCCACGTCGCCGAGCGCAGTCTTTTCCTCGGCATGTCTCGCATCCTGTGGGCGTTTGACATCGCGCCGGCTCCTGACGCGCAGGGACGGCCGATCATGCCGGATCCCGACCGGCTGACGCAGGGCTTCGTGTGCATGCCGGAGGAGTTTCCGGCCAAGATCACGCCGAGATCGAAAGAGCGGGCGGACATCGTGACTCGGGAGTGGAAGGCGGCGGAGAAAACGTGCTTGGATCCGGAGACGAAACAGTGGCTTTTGCATCCTATTGATTCATGATTTTGCTTTTTGTATTCCCCCCCTTCGATACACTGCCGCTTGGGAAGGTTTGTCCCGGTGATGATGTAGTGTAATCCACGGCATTGGATTGATGCCTGTATATTAGGGATCTATGAACTCATGACATATATGCTTAAAAGACGCCTCACAGTCATGTAAGAACATGTTGAATTTGCTTTGCTCCATTTTCGCCATTCCGAAAACTTTGGCCCACCCGAGGCACGATTTTCACGATTGAAAAGATTGACCGCGGAGAACACGGTTCATACGAGGTCCAATAATGGCCAAAAAGAGCTACCAGTCCCTAAACTGATGAAACGGCGTGGGATTCGTGTCACGCCTAAAACTGACATGAAAGCAAAGCAAACCACCAGCGCCAAAATAAGGGTATATATAACATCCAGCAGCGATAAGTATCGACAGAAATTCCCTCCTACGGAGGGATTGCTCTTCTAGTGTCAAAAAGATCCTTAACGGATCTGCACTTTTTGAAAGTCTGATATAAGTTCATTCACCTGACCCATGCTGGTTTCATCGTACTTATTCAAAATCGGATCTGAGAGCCCATCGTCGTCCTCCCCAATGAGTTCTCCTTCGGTTTGATCTGTCCATTCTTGGGGCGTGGAATGGGAGGCGTTCGCTGCTTCGAGAAGGTCAACTTTGAGACTGGCTAGGAGCCAGTAATCTGGTGAGTAGCGAAAAAAGCCAACTCTCTTCCACATGTATTCTGGCCGTGTATGGTTGTTATCGACGATGGTGTGAGGTGAAGAGCCCGGAGATTCACTAGCTTGGAGATGCCAAGTATCTTTCCAGTTGCCCAATGCGTTCCGCATCCGCTGTAATAGTTCGTTTCCACCAAAAGAGTTCTGGTAATGGAAAATCAGATAATGAATCGCTGGTTGTCAAGGTCAGAACGTCAGATGCTAGGCAACACATGAGCTGTTTGTAACAGCGCTTACCTGAGGCAATTGCGAATAGATTCAGTGGCCCCAACGCAGCCAGCACTTGGCGCATATGTACAGTAAGATCGCCTCGACAGAGAGTCTCAAAAGCAGAGCGAAACGAAACTTTCCAAAATGGGCTTGTGTCCGGCATCCAAAGTTGAATTTGTTCAAAGCACTCTTCAGCTGTCACGGCTTGGAAACAAGCTTCTGGAGCAGCAACATGGTTTTTCATTTCTTTAATGACCATTCTTGGAGGGAGATTATTGAATATGACGAATGCCGTATCCAGTAAAAAGATCCATAAGAAAGTCCTGAAACCGCAAGATATTAGTGGACAATAGAACATAAAGTAACAGTTACTGACCGAATTAATTCTTCCCTAGCCACAAAATCATTCCATTGAAATTCGTGTTTCGCTTGACAACTGTACTTATTATGCCTTGCGGTCATAACGCCTATGTCCCGAACCATCTGTTAAGGGATCAGTAAACAGTACACGGACTGGTCCCCGGTTCGTAAATCAGCAAGGAAACTCACAGAGACTACCGTACTATAACGATGTCGGCGGATACGTTTCTTGGTCATATCCGTGCCCTCCCAGTTTTGATAAAGACAAACCATATAACAAGCCTGAAGCGCTTGTATTTTTCGTCGATTCACCGCTGGGTCGAATGGAAATACGGGAGGGATGTCAACGTCGTCATCGGCAAAAACCATCTCCTCAACACAGTTGAGCCAGGTCCTGGCGTTTTCATTGTCCACTGGATCTGGTGAGACACAGGCTCCTGGTTTCTCGTGAGCAACATTCCATGTTGAGCACGGACAGCGAATGAAAAGTTCAGCTCGAGGTACTCACCAATGAGAGCCATGGCAGCCACAAGGATCGATTTTGATGACACGGGATCGAAAGTTGGTCGATGGACAAAGTTAACGTTGGGTGACCATATCGCCCAATATAATTCAAGGTACTTTCGAAGATTTGTCGGAGCGAAGAATTGTAAACACATTTGCTCCAGCGTGGAAGACCAAGAGAACGCCACTGAGCTATTGCGCGGCTTGATTGTAACCACTTCCTTGATCGACAGTATGATTTGATGGGATTTCAAAGCAAGGGGATCATTGAGCCAGCCAGATGATACACCTTCTGACGTATTGGTCGATTCGAAGTTGGTCAGTAGCAGTTGCTGGGGTTCAAAAAGCCCGGACTGGATGTTCGACATGATCTCTTGCCTCTGGCGAAGGGTTCCGCAGTCAAAAGAATGAACAAAGCCAGTTTTGCTTGTAAATTTATCCAAAAAGCGAAAGGAATGGTGCTCATCATCATTAGGGGTGACAACATCCCGGACCGCCTGGTTATCCGACGTGAACTGCAAGAATTCCTGCCAGGTCGAACTGGAATAGCCGAAGAGATCAGGCTCAAAAAAAGATCCGAACAGGTTCATAGTCATGTTTTCAAGCTGAGTAGCTTCGAGGTTGGGCGGAGGGGTGACTTCAGTGGTCGGAATAAAAGCATCTGTAGCTACCAGCGAGTCATTATCCGTGTCGATTGCTTGCAAAGATGGGTCACTGGACGGTTTTGGAGCATTCACGCCAGAGGAGTAATGACAGGGGATTCCCCTTTTGGCGCAATTCTGGCATGGCTGAGCACTGCTACAGGCTTTCTTCTGGCGGACACAGCGGTCGCAAGCGCGTCGACGAACAGCGGACCTGGATGATCCTCTTCCATCGCAGGAGCGCCAATGACGTTTGAGAACGTCGGCCCGTTGAAACGCACAGCCGCAGGCAGGGCAGCGATGAGGTCGTTCTGAGGAGTGTGAGCTGATATGCCTCTGTAAATGCTCCCGTCGCTTATACGACTTGAAGCAAATGGAGCATTGATGCGACGTAGGGGCTGGGACTGCAGTCGGATTTAAGGCAGTGCTAAGTTCCGGACCCTCGCTTTCTGTTAAAACCATGATTGGACATTGTTTCTGTGCTTCTCCTTATCCTCCTGTCACCCCAGCCTCCGGAAGAATGAACTGAAGAATATCCCCTTGTGCTCACAGTTCACCAAGGGAAAATTGACAAAATTCTGAAAACCCCAGAGGACTGGGAGGCCGGGGACTTGGCCTTTCCTGTGGAGATATCGCGGGGATCACGGTGGCCAAGGTAAGTTTGCCTTTTTGAGTTCACGAGCCCTTCAGCTAGTGGCCCGTAGGCTTGATTTCCATCAAGATATGGATCGTGGATGGGGACGGATCTGACTCGGCCTTTGTTCTCGGCAATTCATGAGGGGCGCCAAAGTAATTTGTACATAAATACAAACACTGAGGGCATTGCCCGTGAACATCTCAAAAGCCCAGTCGGCCCTGCTTGCCTTCTTCCGGCATCATGTCGACCAGACGGCCATGCATCGGGTGAAGAAGACGAGACGGAATCTTTGAGCTGAAGTTGAAATCGGAGAATCACGTGCTGACGCAGCATCGAATTAGGTTTAGCTCAACCATGGATGCGGCATTGTAAATCTCTAATTGGTCGATTAAGTCTCATTTTTATGCAGTTTCAGCCAATGAGAGCTGATTTTAGCTCCTTATCCGTCCAATTCCTGGCCATTCAGCATCTACAAAAAAATGGAGAACTGAAGCGCGTTATCGAGCCATCAATTGAATCTCCAAGAGTAAACTACAGTAAGCTACAAGCATTCATTGAACTTGGGACGAAATGCACCATTAACACTCCCCAATAGGACAGTGGTTCAATGGCCATTGGGTGATGCCTTTCACCGCCCTTTCGTGAGAAACAATGCCGGTGTTCCCCGCTTCCTCTACGCCGGCAATACTCCCTCAACATGATCAAGGCCATTTTCTACAGTAAATTTGATACACAGTCAGGTACGAACATTCCCACTCCCTTCCCTTGGCGAGATGCTCTATACTGACAGTAGATGTTGCTACAGGGCGCAAAGTTGTTCACCAAGTCCCCGATGGCTCTATAGTCCCCTCCCCCACCGCTCCGTCAGGGAGTTCCCCGCTCTTCAATTTCTCTGATATATCCTTTTTCGTAATTCCGAGACAGGAGCTCTGCGGCAATCTCATCCAGGTTTGCACAAATGGCTACCGCATCCTGGGGTCGCCGGTGTGCATCAAGTCGCCTAACTATGATCGCAACGAATTCATCTTTAATTTCTGCATCGTGCTCGCCGAGGAGGAGGAGTGGGGGAGCTTTAAGAGTGTGGTTCAAAAGTTGGCCGATCTGATGTGCGAATTGGAAGAGCAGTCGGGTTTCTTATCAACGGACCAGTCGCAGGGCGAAGAAGGGAAGGTGCATAGTTTGTGCGAAACGTTGATGGAGGACTTGAACAATTACTGCGAGTGCATGATCCCAATTGGTACGTTATTCTATATGTCCCTTCGATTACTTGATTGATAGGTAGCTTACTATGCGTTTTCAGATGCGTTAAATACGCTAAACGTCAAGCTCTTTCCTTTATACCCTTCTCCACCCCCGGTCAAATCGTGGCAAGTCCCTTTATTCACAGTTAGATATGAAGCGTTTATGGACGAAAACTGGGATCTCACCATGCAAAGGGTAGGATATGCCTACTGCTCAAGGTCACTAAAGCTTAATGGAGAACTAACTATTACATGATATAGATAGTACCTTTTATCAATGGAATCAACAGTGTCCGCGCCATATCCGTCCTTGCAGATGCTGACTATTCATTGACCTGCCGTGCAATCCGTCACCTTGTCTATTATGGATGCGTCTTTCTTCTTGATATATTTTCTTTCTCGGCAATATACGCCCAAACGGCACAGTTTGGCTACACCATTGCTTCAGACGAGGAAATGCAGCGCGAATGCGCGCGTTACGTGAACACTCGCTTTTCTCCAACCCTCGCCCGTCCTAAAACAAACGAGTCTAGGCGTTTTGGCTCCAAAGCGGGAAGTCGAAGTGACATACCCCGACGTGAGATGCAAACCCCGATAGAGCAAGATGATATCTGGCCAAAGATGGGCAAGGATGACAAAAGGACTTACGGCCGCTCAAATCATCAAGCTCAAATAGTCGATGGCGTTGGAATCGTTGAGCTATACGCCAGTCTAAAGCATGGCCAAAGTGTCAAACAATGGTGCCTGGAACACATGAGAGAACTGGCCAACATTGATGTCCGGCGTTTCATTACCTTTGGGGTCATAAAAGGGTTCTTATACCGTGTTCACAAATACCCGTTCGCAACAGGACAACCGGCTCAAGCAGCAACTACAATAGCCACCACGGTCACCAGCACCACTAACAACGGCACACAGCAAATATCTTTCCTCCCTGGCTCACCTTCATACACTCGTAATCGCCTGGGCTCGACTGCGAGCGGCATAGAAACGATCAGTTCCTCACATTCCCGCCGCCGGAAAAGCGCACCTTTGATCGGTCCTGTAGAACCATATCCACACTCCGCTTACCATTCTGGCGATGAGGATGAGGATGAGGATGGCGACGAAGATGGCGCAGGTATTGAAGATAAGATCCTGACTAAATTCCTAGACGGGATGCATTGCTTCGATGAAATCTGCACAGAATTGGAAATCAGCGAGAAGGAGCTTACTGCAAGGTTAAAGCGGTATCCGAGAGAGGTATTGATCATTCAACGGTGATATCTCCAAGTTGGTTTTGAGGATAGGTTATCATTCAAACATTCAGAAAGCTTTCTAGTAAGGGGATAATATATACGAGGCTACTGGTTAATTGTTCGACACCTAGTTATCGAAAATATCACCGCAATTGCATAATTTTAATTATCCTCTTTACGGGAAACCGTTATATAGAGGAGCCCCGTAACCCACCGCACCCGAAAAAGCCGACCGGGTATCTCCCAGTGATTCCTAAACGCCCATCTCGCGATCCCCATAAACCGTGGGTGAAAGGCGTAAGCTCGCAGCTCGTACATCAGACACAAACACAAAACTCCACCCTCATGGACACCCAAGACCAGTCGAAAAAACCGAAGAATCCTCCGCCAAAAAGTATGCACAACGAAAAAGAAAAAAATCATCCTCATTCTTGCTCTTCGTCCCATCCCTCGATTTCTGCCTTTTCAAATTCCGCCATAATCATGGGATCCCAGACCGACTCGTCTTTTCCAGGAACAGTGGTCTTACAATCTTTGAAGACCGGCCCAATACAATCCGCCCACCGCTTTCGACGGTCCATGAGCGTACGAGCCAAGTCGCCGATTCCAGGTCGGCCGACGCCAGGTCCATTGACAGGGTGGCTGCCTCCGCCCGCGCCGCCGGGACGGTGTTTAGCCTGTGATCCCTTTTTGCTTTTACCAAGTGTGCGAGTCCGCTTAAGGTAAGCTTGCTGTACTTGGGAGTCAAGGTCATCATGGATAGTGGTGTACTCTTGATACGCTAGGCGCTCGCGGGCGATTTCAAGGAGACGGGTTTTGCGTGCGCCATTTACAATCATTTGTTTTTTCAACTCGCTTTGAAGAAACCGAAGGCGCTCAGCGACATCATCGTCGTAATGAGCATCATAGTCTGGGTTTTCATCGGGACCCAAAAACCCAATATAGCGTAATTCAGCTTTGAGGCGCTCATCGAGTTGAGAATGATCAAGCTTAGCCGCTGGGACTTTAAACCCGTTCGGAGATGCATCTGGAAAAGCCGTTGCAGAGTTCAACGGTTTATTTTCAGGCTCTCCATTGGGCTGATCTATATCCATAACCATGTCATTGCTCGGATTCCCGTTAGGAGCTGTTTCATCATGATTTGCGGGCTGTGTCGCAGTATTCTCTTCTGGTAGAGTGCGATGTTCAAAGCGAAGCAACGAATAAAGGCGACTAATCAACGGTGGCGCCGAGACTTGGTCGGACTCTGCGGTATCATCGCTAATCTGTTCAATGCTACCACGGCCTTGATTCAATGGTAATTTTTCGCGCTCTTGATGAGAAGCTTCAATGGTTATTGAACCGTCTTCGTCAGCCCATATTTCAGAGTAGTGCTTCTTGCCACGACGGGGAATGAGGAAAGGAGTAACACGGTCGCCCTATTTGATACTTTGTAAGTTAAAAAGGCATCAGTTTACGAGGGAATTCTGTACCTTTTCTTTGAGAAATGCAATATCCTCCTCAGTCAAGGGCCGGACGTATGGCTCAATGTATGTTGCAAAGGTATTGGCGCTGACTTGATTAGTAGGCTTCGCGTTGCTGAAATCCTTATCTGGGATAGTTCCTGCCATCATATGGCTCAAATCGCTTTGCGGAAACCCTGCCACGCAGTAAATCTCCTTTTTAGCATCATCCGTCATTCCAGGAGTAACCTCCCGAATGTGGTAAATCGTGGGGTCATCGAATCTTAATGGGTCCGGCCCGAATACCTGGTAATGAGGTATAGCGGGAGCAGGCTCTGGCTGATGAGAGTCATTGCTTCCTGCAGATCCTGCGGATCCAGGCCTTGATGTCTGTTCGCTGGGCTTGGGGGAGGTCATTGAAGGAGGCGAGAGAGAAGAGGCCGCAGATGGTGGATTCTTAACTTTCTTGCTTGGAGACGACGAGCCCCCTGCCGCGTCTTTGCTGCTTCGCTTTAGGTGAGCTTCAAAAAGGGTCAGCTTATCAACAAACCATAATAACCGAGATAATATGTTTGGTTTTGGGCAATATCCAACCAGTAGAAAGGACATAAATGCGTCAAATGTACGATTAGGGGGATAGATCAAGCACACGTGATGTAAACAATCCATTGATGGTGAGAGGATGCGGTAGAACAGGAAGAACCCGGCCGGGGGCTCCATAAAGGAGAAACTTACCGTCGGTTCTCAGTTCAAAGGCATCTTGCCGTGCCACACCGTGTGCTCCAACTGCAAGAGGTCGTTCATCCTTTGAAGTTCCTTTATCCCTTCGTTTCTTCAGCTTTGCTCCCTTTGAAGCACGGCTCTCGTCATCATCCACGTCAGCTTCTCTTTTAGTTTTCAGCTTCTCTGAACTATGTCCTATCTGTTCACGCTCCCTTTGATATTCAAACAGTTCCTTCTTCCTCTGGGACAGCTCCCGCATTCCAGCATTACAGGCATCGCCTCTCGCTTCCGCCACGTCGCTGAGCGCTTTGAGCTGCTCAACAAGGCTCTCCAAAGCCTTCGAGTCTGGAATTTGACTTGAGTCCACCCTAGTTCACCAAGTATATCGGAGTATGAAACGAGTAACTGAGACGACAAGCTTCGAGACATCATTGTCAAGATACCCGAGGAGAAAAAGCAGCTCCGGAGGCGGTGCCAGCGCTCAAAGCAGAGCTCAGGAGTGATATTGCGACTTCGCGAGCCTCTCGGTTCACGGGCCTTACCTTTACTTTTGGCACTGGAGAGAGGGGGCATTGTGAACACCTTTATCGTGCGCTCAGGAATAGGGATATGGTCGGTGAAGCTGCGCGGGCTGGAACGATCAGACGACTGAACCAACGGGGGCTGTAGAGCGCGAAATAGCGCTGGCCACGACGGCAAACGACTTCCAATTATTCCCGTTTCATGAGCCTGCCAGCGCCAATCCCAATGTTATATCGGCCCTCGAGAAGCCACGTTTGCGCCGGTCGGGTGATTCGGCGCGCGTTGCTGTCGCTGAAGTCATGACGGGCCACGTGATATTATGTAAGCCAGTGGTCTGTGCGCTTAGCGTATCGTTGGATCAGTTGCACTAGGCGATATTAGGACTAGGTGATTCGGGATGCATCAGGACTATTACATAAGCAGTGTTCCGGATATTTTCGTTCTCGATTTTTGATTGATTTTGACTGCTTTTGTTGAACGAACAGCCTGACAGAAGCTCAAGCAACCAGCACCAAGGCATCTGTTTTCGTGGATGCGAAGCTGGAAGGATGTCTGATGAAGGGCTCCCTGCCCAGCCTCAAATCGGGGTTTCTTTCCTTTTGCCAGTTTGAGTTTTGACTCAGCGTTGTTGACAGTGAAGAAATGGCTATCCGTTCAGAGCCGATCCTGGATGCCACAGCCACTAGCCAATGCTACAGCAACAGGCCATCTTACGCGTCCAACGAGATCCTGGAGATCGAGCAAGCAGCGACGCTTGAAAAAGACTCTCAGCTTTCCATTCTTGTGCGACTCCTGTCGAGCATCCAACGGTATCTGTGGCTGAATGCTGGGGTCGACTAATCGAAATGAGGGGCCGAGCGTTTGAGCCCGTCTCGCCTTGACATTTGTCGAAGAAAAGGTTGCAGCCCGAAACTGTCAGCGAGACAGGGACAAGTGGACTTGAAGGAGCCAAGTGCAACACAGGTGTAGCGCTGCTCTTCTTCCGCCCGCTGGCCATCCCGATTGCCTCGAATTCAGCTCGTTATCTTGAAAAGCCTCAAACGACCTGGCGGCCGCATTGAAAAACTAACCCGGTGAGCAGCAAGTCTTCATCCCCATCACGTAAATGTTCAAAGTCGGGTGTGGTTTAGGTTACGGTGAAGAATGGCTTTCCCCGCTTTACTTTAACCTTCAAGACGGCTGCCGATCACCTCGACCCAAGGCGCCGTTTTGCTTTTTCGGCATTCTTCAGTCTGCTTCATTCTTCTTCATCTTGCTCACTCGCACGGTTTTTCGAAGAAAAACTGTTTTGTTTCTCCTTAGTATGCGCCCTCACTCTCTGTTCTATCCGACAAGTACCACTGTCTCCCAACGCAGTACGCGTCCCTCATGACGTTGTTCCTGTGAAGTCTCCCGCGCCTATCCGGAGCAACCGTCAGGCGGGCAACGCGCCTGAGTGAGGAGAATCACCCAAGGCTCGCTCGTGCACAGAGACTCAATCCTCTTTGGCGTTGATTGAGTGTGATATTGGTCTCTATGGGTACGTTTGTGTTCTAACTCGGGAAGGATGATTCTGGGCCGAGCCATAGTTGTACTCACAGTGCGTGCTTGTACCATATAGCCGCCACCGCCTTCAGGGCTAATGCTCTGCTGTTGTATGGACCGGAAAATGAATGCAATATCCAAAACTTGAGGGTGAATATCTACTTTATTTTCCACAAGACAAGAACTGCCACCTCCTCGACACGGTAGCTGACAATTTATATACTTTTTGCGGCAGAGTAGAGAAGGTTTTAACCTTGATGTCGGTGCCAATATCCAAACTCTCTCAAGCAAGCATGTCCCCCCTGGCGACGGAATCGTCGGACTCCTTTATGTCCCGCAACTCCCCGTGGATGATATTTGCGTCGACGAAACTGCATCTTTGATCCCGTCCAACGTTACTCGAGTAACCGATGTCCCTGCAGAAAACTGTGCTTTGATTGCGGTTGCCCCATGGGTGTCTAAAGCGTGCACGGCTCGCTTCCTCTCACAAGCAAACCAAGATAGTGTCACGGCAATGCTCTTTTACCGCCCCGGTAACTCGCGTGCTAGACCACCTCCTGCAGATGCGCCGGAATGGGATCTGGGTGACAATGACCAGTGGAAGTCTGAGCATAAGTTCCCTGCTTATGCCATCCCCGGCGCATTCGGGACCAGTTTGATGGAACAGCTATCGCTTTACTCTGGAAATCTGAGTGACGCGCCCCAAGGGCCGTATTTGACGATGCAGTATGAAAACGCAACCGCCAGAGCATACGGTCTGATTGCCTTGGGTATGGTTTGCCAGTGTTAATCTATTGGTGCTACCGGGCTAATGAGTAATAGAAAATGAAGGCAGCTCTTTTCCTGGTCTTTGGGTCTTTCTCTTAATAATCCTCGCAGCATTGGTACTCATCGTCGCCAGCTCCTCCATTATCATGAAGCTAGTTCAAAGGGGCCGCCGTGTGTCCCTCCGAGAAAGAATCATTGCAGGGGAAGTGGATCTGGAAGTGCTCGGAATTAAGAGATTGAGAGTACCGCAACACGTTCTAGATAAAATGCCTCTCTACACATACGATAAAGACGGCCAACCCGCTGCACCCACTCCCACCCATGCACAAGTCGAATCCAAACCCACTAGCAGTCCTACCGCTCCGTCTACATCAGCTGACTCCGAGGATATCCCGTCTAGCAGCCCTCAGACCTACGAGCGCCTAAAGTCAATATTCTCACAAACAACTTGCCCCATCTGCTTGGACGACTTCTTGCCAGGGCAATCTGTTATCAGGGAGCTTCCGTGTCAGCACTTCTTCCATCCAGAATGTATTGATGCTTTCCTTCTCCAGAATAGCAGCTTGTGTCCTGTTTGCAAAAAGACGGTGTTCCCTTCCGGCTACTGCCCCGACTTGGTCACGGATGCCATGGTTCGTCAGGAACGCTATGCCAGAAGATCCGGACAGCGACGACCAATGCGAGGGGCGACCATGATTATAGGTGACTCTCCAATGGCCCCCAGGCAAAGTCGCTTCGATCGTCTTGCGGGTCGATTAGGGTTTTCGCGGTCTCCGGTTGGAACTACTCAACAGTCGTACGCCATGGCACAGACCCCTTCTCCCCCTCCGCCATCGCCACCTCCCCCACCGACTAATGGAGCGACTGACTTACCTGGCCGTCGCGAGGAGATGCGACGAAGAGCTGTAGCAATGTTGGGTAATAGGCGTATGGCTGAGGACGAGGAGAGAGAACGCGATGCAGCAAGACCAGCATGTAAGAAAGACTTAGATTCACGAAGCAACATTCCGATTCTCTAGTGGGTTTTTGCTAATGGGATTTAGGGCTCAAAATCATTCATACCTTTTTTCCCACGCTACGATAGCCAGCACAATCTGGTATTTGCGATTTCGCATAAAGTCTCGCCAACGGAATGCTAGACATTCCCTGCCTAATAAGTACATATCTACCACATTCTAGTTTCCGAGCGGTTTTGTTCGCGAGGAATAACATACATATGACTTTTGACTTATGATCTTTGATACCCTTTTTGATTTCTTCGTTGTCAAACCGGGTCCACGCTTTAAAATCCATGGCCTCGTTTTCGTTTTTGGTATTTGTTTGGCAATGACTACTGGCATAATCTTTTTGCATTTCTTCAAATTCTGGTATATATTTGCATCTAATATCGGAGAGCATAAATTGAATGGGCATAGACTGGATTACTACTTCTGTAAATACGGCAGTGTGCATGTACATACTACATACATACATATATGATAGGCTCTTCTCTAGTTTGGGTTTGCATAGAGCTTAAGCGCATAGCAGGCCATGTGCGGTCTCGCCTAAAAGTCCCAGATTCATAGACCACACTGAACGCTACTGTCCAGGAAAGGTTAAAGAATCCCTCGACTGGGTGGACCAGTTGGAGGCTTGGAGCCCGACCTGGGACTCCATCTTGTCATAAACGCAAAGCTCGGCTTTAGCGCCTAGGTCGAGAATCTGAGCTGCTGCTGCGAACTATCCGTCTGAAACGCCGAACAAGGTTTTAATCATGCCGTAAAATCCCTTGAAGGGCCGAGACAGCAGCCCAGCCACATCAACGGGACGTCCCGTTGGTCCTCTCTGAAAAAGTTCGCGCAGAACCATACTATCTGGCCGCAATTCCTTATTTAGAAACCGGGATATATGGGAAAAACCTTCCCTAGAAGACGGGGTCTGTTTTCGAATCAGAGTGAAAACTCCACTTCCCCCGCTTCTCTCCAACTTCGCGTCTTCTCTGTGAAAAACCGGGGCCCCTCACGATGCAAACTTATCATGCTTCCCCTTGACTCTCACATCCAGAATTTCCTCATGATAGTTCCCTTCTCTCCTAGCCTTCTTGAGCCGTTTCACTTCATGATCTTCCAGCCTCCTGCCCACCGCTGCTTCTAGCTCTTTGCGAGTGACCTTTTCAAGCGCCTTGCTCGCCCTAGAGGCTTTCAGTTTCGGTTTGAACCGCGCCTGCATGCGAACACGGAAAGCCGTACTGGATGAGGCTTTTTCGGCGTCGCCACGGATTTCCACAGTAGAGGAGGGGTCCTCCTTGATGGAGAGAAACGCTTCCATGTCGCCGCCGCATATTTGGAAAGAGAGCATCCCGGGCGACTCTGGTGAGGGAACGGGGACGAAAGATTCAAATCCGGATACGGCAGGCGACGTCGCTCTCAAAATGCCGTATTTATCGCAGCTTAGATATCTGTCCATCCACTTCCGTTAGCAGTCCATAGTCTCGAAAATCGGTATTTCTCTTTTTGTCACGCGAAGAAGCGTAGTAACCACCAACCTGCCATGGTGGCCTTTGAAATTGACACCCTCAGACCCAGCAACCTTCGTCGCCACCCAGACCTGCCTCACATCGTGCGGCTCTGCCGTCCGCGGGTCTCCGTCCACGGTATTCTCGATGTCGCTTGCAAACACTTTGCCATTGACATCGCACGCAATACAGGTCGGTGGCGTCGACGGTAGGACAATCATAACAGGACCTGAAATATCAGTCGGGACATCCGCAGAGACCCAGCTTTGTTCATCTTGCTCGTCCGTCAGTTTGGCCACGGCCGAGCTTGTATTTTCCGATTGAGCGGCGGGTTGATTGCCAGCGGGGGATTGGTCTTCGTCGTCGCGACGCTTTCGCTTTTTGGGCTTCTTGTCGCCTTTGAAAGTTAGGGGCTTGACCATTGTTGGCTGGTATTCACAGAGTACTGGACGTCTGAAGATGCTCTTGTCTCCGTTGCACTGCTGCAGCAAGCTGACGAGGTTCAAACAAGGCAAACAGGCTGTCTCGAAGCAAACATGCCAAGCCATGCATTAACTAGTTAGTCAGTCGGCTGAATACGTTCGCTCCAGCAAGCGGCCCTCAGAAGCTGATCAACTTGAGCTATCAAACTCCTACAGTCTGTCCGGCGATTCAATATGAGCCTTACGAGAACACGCATGTAGGGCCCAGAAAGGCAGATTCAATATTCATCAATATTGATGCAAAGCATATCAAGCAATGCATGGAGCGCTAACAATCTAACAATTCTATACAGGTATTCACTGGAAACATCATAAAAAACGCCTTGACAAGCCTACAATATGGCCTCTAGTCAAAGGTGATAGCAGCCTTGATAGCCGACTTGTTTCTCATCGACTCCAGGCATTCGGCCCACTGCTCAAGTTTGAAGGTTTTGTTGACGATTCCGTTGACTCTGACCTTGCCAGAGTCGAGGTAATCGATGGCAGCGGGGAACTTGTAGGTCTCGCTGAAGCTGCCAAGGATGGTGATCTCGTCGCCGACTACAAGCAAAACATGTTAGCAAGTGAAAACGCTCCTACACCAGCACATGGCGTTGAGTGATCGCAGGACTTACAGATCTTCGACGGTGGCCACGTGACTCTGTCCTTGTTGGCATAAACACCATAGACGACCAACTTGCCGCCGCGACGGACATAGTTGATGGCATCCTCCAAGATCTTCACGCTACCGGTGGCCTCGACGACGATGTCGAAACCGTATGGGTTGGCAGCCTTGAGCGCTTCGAATTGAGCGCTGGGGTCTTTTCGGGAGAGAGGAATGTATTCATCGGCGGCATCAAGAGATTTGGCGAGATCCATCTTCAGACCTTCAGGAGCGGCAATGACAACTCTGCAGCCACCGTTGAGGCGGAGCATTTGAGCAAGAACCTGCGTTGACGTCAGTGTGTGAAACAATATGGACTTGGTCGCAATGGAATCAGCTTACGAGACCAGTTGGGCCGGCACCAAACATGAGGACTGTGGATCCCATCTTAGGGGAGATCTTGTCCAGACCGTGAGCAGCGCAAGAAGCGGGCTCCAAAAGAGTGGCATCGACATCTGAAAGGTTCTGGATCTTGAAAACACGGCCAGCTAGAAAGAAACATTAGATTTGGTGACACCCTCAGAACCGGTTGCTATAAATCTTACCTGGATAGGCGCAGTACTCAGCAAAGCCACCATTCATGGTGACACCGTGGGCCTCGAAATGCTCACAGAGCAATTCGTCGCCTCTTCGGCAGTAGAAGCATTCTCCGCAGAGCTCGGAATTATCAGCAACTACTCTGTCACCGACTGTAAAGCCCTTGACTTTTGGTCCAGTGGCAGCAACAACGCCAACAGTTTCATGACCAGGAACAAGAGGGAACTAGAAATTCCATGGCCATTAGTTCCCGTTATTCTCGCAGGCTCTCACCAAAGGAGATTATTTACCTTGGCAAGGAATTCGCCTTCGTGGATATGCAAGTCAGTACCGCAAACACCGCAGGCTTTGACTTTGATCTATATTGGAGGCAAGTCAGTTTAATTGTCGTCCGTACTCGTCGCTTGCAACAGCTCAAGGGTCGAAAAATTGCAAGATCGTGGGCCCATACCAATACATCATTCTCGCGGAGCTGTGGCAATGGGATGTTGACAAGGGCATATTCCTCCGGCTTGGAATATCTGTTGGAAAGACTCAGCAATGACTCTCATAACGCACAGTCGAAAAGTGTATCATACTGGAGGGCCTTCATAGTCTTGGGGAGTGCGGAAGTCATTTTGGCGAGATTGAATGGATTCTTTTTCCGTTAACTGACTATTTACAGCACTGCAGAGCTTGCATGGTCAGCATGCTGGTCAAACATGTGAAAAACTCCTCTGGCAGAGGTGATATAGCCTTGACTCACAGTTCAATATGCAATTGACTGAAGGTGATCTCGGGTGGTATGGGCAAATGGGGTTGATTATGTTCAGAGACAACAGGAATCTCGCACCAGCTCTGGGGGCAGGTTGGAATATATATACACGGGAATACCCAAACCCAAACAGCTTCAGCCGGTGAAGGCGTGACCGGACACTCCTGACAGAAAAATCTAAAAATTGGAGATCGTGGACTGAGCTACTTACGAGATGCCCACTTTTGTGGAGAGGAAGTTTTACAATCTTCCCCATAACGACCCAAAAATATTGCTTCCCCGGCCTATGGCCCTACGCCCAACACGTAGAAAACGACGGTTTGCCCCCCCAGGGGTTTGGCCTTTGATCCCATCGTGGGGATCCAGCGGTGCCCATGGTTCCTGCAAATCTAGAATTTTCTGGGAAGCTTGCCTGCGAGGCGAGCTTTACCACCCTCGCACCGTTACAAAAAGCCTCGGTGCAAATTTGCCCAGATGATCTCATCCCGGCCAACCAAGAGGCGTTGAAATATCATTCAGCTGCTCGATGTGGGATAGATCCCGTCTTCGAATCGACAAGCTTGCCAGTGATCGAGTTGAAAGGAAAACGATTGTCAGATCTTGATGATGATGAGTAAGGTGGCGGCCGAGAACAAAAAAGAAAACTCTCTTGCCAGGTTGCACTATTAGCTTGTTCTTTCACCGTCTGATGAAAAGGCCGCAGCTTATTGCTCAATGCCTTTTTTACACAGGATTGCTTAATTCTTGTTCAGCCGTTGCGAGAGAGGTCGCCGCGGCCACTCCTTGCCACCTGTCCTCTCAGCTCTTCCCCATGCTCTCCATTATGCAACGATGAGAAATTGCCCAATGGCCCGGACTCGTGTGTCAAGTGATTGGAAAAAACGACACGGCGTGGGATGAAAGAGCTCTTTTGCTTAGCGATACGGCGCCGTAGCGTCAATGGACAACCCGCCTTTGGCCGCCGCGATCCTCCACGCCAGAGTTAAAGAGTGCTTCTCAGGTAAAAGTGTCCTTGACACTCCCGGTGAATCACTGACTCCTCCGTATTTCTGAGCCGGTTCACCGCTTCAATTCTTTGAACACTTTAAGTCCAGATTGCAGGGTTTGTGCCGATATCGATCATCCATCGAGTCTTGGTGAAATCTGATCATCGCAACCTCCGCGGTTCCGAGCAACATAGATCATCCGGCAGAGCGTTCAAGTCAACAACAACAACAACAAAGCTCCCTATCCAAGCTTCTAACTCTGACCAGTTCCTGTTGATTTCTCCGCCAGCTCCGCCGGGACCCTCCATCCAGGTTACTAATTTTGGAGCTCCTGGTGGAGAAAAAGGGGGAGACGACCATATTATTAATTCTTATCTCGCCGTCCGGTGTCGCAGGACTGAGGACGGTCGAGAGGATGAAAAAAGAAAGTTTTCATGTTCCTGAAGTTTTTAATTTTTTTCTTTTTTTTTTTTCGTTGCCACATGACCTTCGGTTTCAGCAAGGTTAAGCGCTGAGATCCCAGCACCAAGCCTCAATCACAATAGCCTAATCGGACTCCTGGATCACCAGAGCAGCAGAGCTGTTCCAGCTAGCTCCCGGGTCGGGACTCCGGGGAAACTTCGAACTCAGACACTCGTTGTGAAGGTCTGGAACCCCCAGACGCTGGCACTTGGGAGTCGGACTAGCCGTCCAGATTCAGCCGTCCAAGCGAGAAGCTGGGGAATAGCCTAATAGGCTGTTCCCTCCAAAAAACGTTGCCGAACATCAAGCCAGGACCTCCTCTCCAGCCCGTTTAATTTGGAAACCAAGTGGCAGTGAAACCGCGTGATTCAAATTTTTTTGTATCGATAGCCATACCCATGTCCAGAGGCGACGTGGATCAGCAAGCCATCGCTACGCCATGCAAATTGGTTGGGTTGGGATCTCAACAGGGAGGTAGCATTTGCCCTGCTCGTTGAGATGCAGCGAACGAGTCACTGATGTTAATGTTGTTTTGAAAACGAACCACTTTGAATGTTGGTAGAAAAGCCGACTAGACGGCCCAGAGCTCCTGTTTCCCCAAAACGAACAGCATATTATTGCTCAATCTGTAAACACTGTATTCGTCATCTGCGGCCTATCAATGCTTTATCGTCGCTAGAATCCAAAATTTGAATGAAAAGAAAAGAAACAAACAGTGAACCGGTACCCTCTGAAATACTCCAAGACAAGCCAATTGCTCTAGTTGAATTGAACATGCGCCCTTGTTTCTCTTCCTATATGCAGTGCAAAACGATACTCGGAAAATAACTGTGAAACGCTGCCAACAACCAAAAGGTGAAAGGCCGGCTGATATGTAGCCTTCTTCTCAAGGCTATGCGTCGAAAGATGGGACTTTATTTCAACCCAAAGCCCTCACTTTCAACCACAGCTCGCCATAACTTCGACTCAAACTTCTCGCGCGTTTGATATCGATACAGAGATAGCATGTTGAAGCAGGTTCTCGCTATTGGGAACCTCTCTGAGTCTTGACCTAGGCAAAGCAGGCGAATTACCAGATTTGTTGCACCCATCGCCGGAATTCGATCACTGCCAGTAATAAAACTCAATATTTTGCGCTGATCCCGAGGGGAAACTCGAGCAAAAAAGTCCCAGAACCAATTCACAACCGGTTCCCGCTCGGGGTTGGCTGCCGGCCAGTGCTCGTACACGGCCACAGCACGCAAAGAAGGGATATCGAGCGCTTCATCCGAGCCACGTACTAGAAGCTCAATCTCTTCAGGTCTAAAGAGGTGAAGAGCATTCCCACCGCACACTGTGAAGAATCCTCGTTTAAAAGGTTCAAACTGTCTCGAGACCGCTCCATCGAGCATATATTTGACGTAAAGATCAACGAATTCTCGACGATTAGAATTTGTCACGGGTCGTTTTTCTCCTCCAGGGCAGAGGGCGACCTCCATGGTTTCACCATACCGCTCCACGTTGATCACAAAGTCCTGACAAAAAGTGGTTTCAACGTCGCCGTCGAATTCGAGGAGCTGTCGTAAGCCTCTGGCGAGCGTTGGGCGATATTCTGCCAGGTCATCCAATGTACACCTAAAGGGTTGACAGGGAGTTGATAGCGTTGGAATATTATTTGGCCTTGCAGAGGCCAGTAATTTTCGAAAAGCAAACGGTGGTAATGCGACATCGAGGATGGTAGAATTGTAAATCGCAAGGCCAAATACAAGACCAACTAGGAAGAACTGCTCCGAAGACTCGAAACAATACGGATTGAAGTAGCAATAACCGGAATCTTCATCGTACAAAAATAGACCTGCGATGCGAGCGATCATGTCAGAACCTAGACGAAGACTACAATGGGACGAGAAACATACCATTCAAAGGGTCAAACACCTCTCTCACCAACAACAAGAACCACTCCTTGCGCAGACCGCCAGCATCAACACCCTCTTCACCAACGAACTCAATGCGAAGACCTTTTTTAATTTCTTCCTGCCCAGATCCAACAACCTCGCTGACTCCACGAAGGCTATCTTCGACTAAACATTCTCTCCGGACTTTAAGTACGAGGTACTGGCTAGTTCCCCTACGCCCTAAAATGCTGTCAAAGAATGCTTCGCGTGCTTTAGCCTCCATCTGACGACGGGCGTCGTGCTCCAGAATCCGTATTTTCGCCCAAATGCTAAGGAAAAAGGAGTATTGGCAAAATGTGAACTTTCCACTTCGAGATTCCCAGGCCTCGAAATCCGTAATTAGATCGGAGTAATCAAGCAATGTGCTGTAGAAAGCATTTATGGGGATCATATGTAGACGGTCGTGAATGTCATGTGGTCCATGCAACATTGGATGCTCCATTCTCCGGCCGTGGCTGGCATAATTTGCGCGGAATAACAGAGCCATTACACGAGCGGCCGCTTTTATTTGCCAATCATCACTATAACTCAGATTTTTGTACTCGGGATTTGGTGACTTGGAGATGTTGTCCCGCTGCAATGCCGAGTGCAGCTGCGCCGGTGTCGTAGTGTTAGGCCCGGAGAAAGTAGGGACAAATTCTCCCAGATTGTCCTCAAGTCTAGCTGACTTACTAGGTCGCCGCTTCTGAGCCCTATTAAGTCGATGTGTGACGAAGCTGCCAACCAAATCAACAAGCCGGCGAAACTGGCTTTCGGGAAGCCTCGAAAACCACGATACTAGTGAGCGATGACATTCACCAGGTAAGTTAGATAGGAGGCCAATAGTCCTCTTCATTATCACAGAACGACGGTCAATCAGATCATGCGCCTTGTTTGAAGGTGCAGTATGACCTCGTCCTGGAGAGGACGTCCCGTCCACACGGGCGCCCTGTCCATATCGATCATCGGTCGAAGGAACAGATATATGG